CGATAAAGCTCACAGCTACCGTTTCAGAAGTACCTACATTGTCCATGTCGCTCCGTTATTAGGTGGGCGGGTCTCAGACTGTGCGCAGGTGCCCCAGGGTACCGCCGACTATGTGAGAGGATTTTTGAGAGGTCCACAGCGACACCTGCCGGACAGCTCGCAAACTGCTAGCCCTAGGTAGTTCGCATTTCGAACGTTGGAGCTTCGTTCCTTTGGATGATGTTGCAACTCGGTAAAATAAAGCTGGGTTTATGGCAGTTCTGATAAAAAAAAAAAGTATAATGCGAAAATTACTGTGGAGCAGGAAATGAGGGTGGTAATGCCTAATCTGATTCCAAGGGTGGAGTTGTGTAGAGTCCAACAAGCTCTCATTCCATTAGTGTATGTGCTTGGGATTATTCAAGAAGGAACTAACGTATTATTTTTTTCTTTCAATTTTTGTGTATTTTCCAAGTGGCTACTAAGCGGCTGGGACATGCAGACCTAAGAGTTGTTTCGACCTAAATACTTACTAACCATAACTGCTAGGTTTTGGGTTTTTTGTTTTTTTTTTTATGTTTTGTTTTGCGCGGGTGGGAGTAGGAGGTGCCCTGAAAAAATTTCTGAGGTCCTGAGGGTGCCTCGAACCAAGAAAGCTTGGGATCTCTGCATTACGCTCGTTTTGAAAAGCCAACCCTAGGAGACCCACACCTCTGTTTTATAGACGAGTCAAGACAGGCTAACTCACTTGCCTGAAGCCACCAGGGGTGGGGGGTGGTAGGTGGCGTCAGGGACAAAGTAGGTCCTGTGTCCTTCTCTACAAGGCGAACAGATCCTCAATTTAGATTTATCTCCTGACTGTGGGGGAGGGCAGCCCTTTCTGTTCGTTGTGGAAAAGCAGGGCCAGGCTCGTGACGTTTCCCTTCTTACTCAGGGGCCCCCTTCCCGGAGGGCCCAGGACCGCAGCCTCTGTGGGCACTGGGACCGGAAGCTCCCTGGAGGCTCCGCCGCCGCGTCCCCACGCCCCTCCCACCAAGCCCACCGTCAGTTCAGAGTCCCAGGCTCAGCCGCCGGGCTTGCGGCGGGACCCAGCAGTTGGAGTTCAAAAGCGGAGCGAAGAATCCAGGCCCCGCCCTTTCTGCTCCCTCCCGGGCACTTTTCGGGGGGGGGGGGGGGGATGTCGCCACGGGGCAGCGGCAGGCAGCTTCCTGGCAGGGGCCGGCGGACAGGAAAACCATGAGACGGTGAAGGGGCAGCAGACAGCATCGTGACCTTCAGCGTGGACTTGAGAATCCCGCCCCGCCCCCGCAGTGAGCTGCCCGCGCCCCAGAGCAACCTGCATCAGAGGAAAAGTCCTGGAGGAACTGGGCTCCCACTTTCCCAAGGGGCAACGGCCAGCCCCGTCCTGCGCAGGCAGGCTGTTGGCTCTTGGGGGCTCTGAACGAGCCCCTCTGAGCCTCTGTTTCCCCCCTCTGCAGATGGGAATATCAGCACCCACTAGGTGCAGTCGTTCTGATAATTGAATACATTATTAAAGCTCCTCCTTAGTGCAGAGCTAAGTTTGCGTGGTCCTTGTGCAGTGACGTTTCGCTAGTTGTTCACGCTCAACAAATATTTATTGAGCACCTACTGTGTGTATGTATATTCTAAGCACTGGGAATACAGCAGTGCACAAGACAGGCAGAAAAACGCCTTGCCCTCAGGGGGCTTACATCCAAGCAGAGAGAGACAGACCATAAATAACAAACATAATAGGTAAGTTAATTATAAAGCAGCTCTGCCCAATAGAAATGTAACGTGAACCACGTATGCAATTTAAAGTTTTCCAGTAGTACCATTACCACAGTAAAAACAAACAGGTGAAATTAGTTTTTCTAATTTTTAGTTTATTAATTTAAAAACTTTTTAGGTGCACCTGGGTGGCTCAGTTGGTTAAGTGTCTGACTTTAGCTCAGGTCATGATCTCCGGGTTCGTGGGTTCGAGCCCCATGTCTGGCTCTGTGGTGACAGCTCAGAGCCTGGAGCCTGCTTCAGATTCTGTAACCCCCTCTCTCTCTGCCCCTCCACTACTCATGCACTGTCTCACTCTGTGTCTCAAAAACAATAAACTTTAAAAGAAAAATTAAATAGAAAAAATATCTAAATTGTGTTGTAAAAAATTTGAAATCTCACCCAATATAGCCAAAACATTATTATTTCAACCAGAGGCATTAGCCACATTTCCAGTACTCAGTAGCCACAGCTTATGAAAGGTATTAGAAGATGAGTGGAAAAATGACGACGTAGTTCAGGTCAAGGGGAACAGGAGCCCCAGGCAAGGGGTCGGATGATAGAGAAGGTAAATTCTCACCGACGGACAGAGAGCTCAGTTACAGCTGTTTAACAAGCTCCCTTTCCTCTGGCCTGGCCTAGCCTGGTCAGCAGGAGGGTTTTCTGGCCAATGACATGTCTTCCCCTCCTCTGTCCCCAAGCATGACCCTGGTTCTGCAGAGCCCTGAATGATACACCCTGCTCACTCCAGGAAATGGTGTGCACACCTTCTTCTGGGAGCTTGGGGCCACCCCGGAGGGACAAACCGCTGGAATTTTGTCAAGGATCTTGCCCGGAACTGGGAAGGTGTGGGGATGGTGGGGTGTGAGGGATGAGTTCTTGCCCAGGGCTGAGATTAGGGGGATGCCAGTGGGGGCGGCAGCCTGTCTTGGTTTAAGACTGTGATATTTTAGGGGAGGCTGGGTGGCTCAGTAGGTTAAGCGTCCAACTCCTGATTTCAGCTCAGGTCATGATCTCACAGTGTGCAGGTTCGAGCCCTGCATTGGGCTCTGCACTGACAGTGTGGAGCCTGCTTAGGAATCTCTCTCTCCCTCTCTCTACTCCTCTCCTGCTCATACTCTCTCTCCCTCTCTCAAAATAAATAAATAAAACTTAAATAAAATTGCAAAATTTTGCTCATCACAGATATTTTTGCCTGAAACTAAAAAAAACATACCTTATTGACTCTCGTATCATAAAATTCATGTTTTTAAAGTGCTCAATTCAGGGAGTGCCTGGGTGGCTCAGTCAGTTAAGCATCTGATTTTTGGTTTAGCTCAGGTCATGATCTCACAGTTTGTGGGTTCGAGCCCTGCATCAGGCTCTATGCTGACAATGTGGAGCATACTTGGGATTCTCTCTCTCCCTCTCTCTCTCTGCCCCTCTCCGGCTCCCTCTCTCTGTCTCTCTCTCAAAATAAATAAATACGCTTAAAAAAAAAGTGCTCAATTCAGGGGGAACTGGCTGGCTCTGAGTTGTGAGGTGGAGCCCCACATGGGGTATAGGGATTACTTAAATGAATAAACACATTTTAAAAACTTAAAAAAATGAAGTGTCAGTTCAGTGGTATTTATTTATTATTATTATTATTTTAAATGTTTGTTTATTTCTAAGAGAGAGAGACAGAGTGCAAAAGGTGGAGGGGCAGAGAGAGAGGGAGACACAGAATCCGAAGCAGATTCAAGGCTCTGAGCTGTCAGCACAGAGCCTGATGGGGGTTCAAACCCACAGACCGCGAGATCATGACCTGAGCTGAAGTCAGACGCTTAACCTTTAGACTGAGCCACCCAGGTGCCCCATTTCAGTGGCTTTTAGCATTTTCACAGAATTGTGTGACACTGTCTAATCAATTTTATAACATTTTTATCATCATCAAAGAAACGTCTGTGCCCATTAAGCAGTCATTTACCCCCTCCCCCCCCCTCAGGTTCCAGTCCCCAAGCCCCCCTTCCCCCCTGCAACCACTGATCTTTCGGAAGGCCTGGATTTGCCTGTTCTGGACATTTCCGATAAATGGAATCATATGCGACCTTTTGTGACTGGCTTCTTACACTTAGCATCATACATTCAAGATTCATTGATATAGCAAGTATCAGCATTTCATTCCTCTTTATGGCCGAATAACGTACCATTGCCTGGATACACCACATTTTACCTGTCTGTTTGTCCATGGATCGATATTTATAAAATGTTTTTTCCCCTTTTTGGTTATGGTGAACCGTGAACTATGAACATTCATGTGCAAGTTTTTGTGCAGACACGTTTTTAATTCTTTGGGAGTTTGCATTACTTTTGATTTTTAATATGTTGCATATTTTTATATAATTTAATATATTGAATATTTTTTATATGATTACTGGAATTTTTGATGCCCCCTTAAAATTTGCACTTGAGTCAAGTGGCTGACTGCTTCCCCATGCTCTCACCTTGCAAGTCTTGTCCCTTGCTAGCTGTGTGACTTTGGGCATGTTGTTTAACCTCTCAGTGCCTTGGTTTCCTCGTCTGTAAAATGGGGATAATCCCTGTACCTACTAACAACTATTAGGGGGATGGAATGAGGTAATATCTACAGGGGAGCCTGGTGTTGGGCCTCCACAGGTGGGTCCCAAGATGGACGAGAGCTAGCCCTGACCTTGAGGAGAGCTGGCCCACTTGCCTTGAACCTCTTGCTGCTTCAGTTCCCAAGGGAAACCTGCTATTGTCACTCTCGTCTCGGCCTGAGCCCCCCACAAAGTTCTCGGGGGCGGGACCCGAAGCTGTTCACCAGGAGGCCTCCATGGCCCCCAGCCCCTTCCATCCCAGCTGCCCTGCACCACCTCCCCGTGGCCTCCCCCACCCTCCCCTCTGCCCACTCCCGGTGAAGGCCTCGGTTCCCCCGTCCCTCTGCACTGCCGTGAGGCCCGCACTTTGCAGGGCTGAAGTCCAAAGTTCAGTCCCTTTGCTAAGCACACGGATAAATATGAACCTTGGAGAATTTCCCCAGCTCCAATGTAAACAGAGCGGGCAGGGGCCCTGATTCACTGGCCGCCGGGGCCAGAGTTGGGGGTTGGGGGTGCCCACAGGGCTCGCTTAGTGGGGTTTGGGGGGGCAGTAGGTGCAAAGGGCCTGGTTCGTGCCTGCCGGCCGACTGGCCAGCAACTAGGCAGCCCGCTCGGTGGTGGAGGCGGCCGGTCTGGTGGCCCCAGGCCGCGTGGCCCGGTGGTGGTGGAGCCATGGTGTCTAAACTGAGCGAGCTGCAGACGGAGCTCCTGGCCGCCCTGCTGGAGTCGGGCCTGAGCAAAGAGGCGCTGATCCAGGCACTGGGTGAGCCGGGGCCCTACCTGCTGGCTGGAGACGGCCCCCCAGACAAGGGAGAGTCCTGCGGCGCCGGCGGTCGGGGGGAGCTGGCCGAGCTGCCCAATGGGCTGGGGGAGGCGAGGGGCTCCGAGGACGAGACGGACGACGACGGGGAAGACTTCACGCCGCCCATCCTCAAAGAGCTGGAGAACCTCAGCCCCGAGGAGGCGGCCCACCAGAAGGCCGTGGTGGAGACTCTGCTGCAGTAAGGACCCCTCCCCGTCCCCGGCATCCAAGGAGCCCAGGGAGGCCCACCCCTGGCTCCCGGCTAGCCCTTCATTTGGGAGCCATGGCTTTTAGCCTGGCTGTCAGGAAGGGGGACAGGGCCCGCGAGAACTCGGGTGTCCTTGCTCTGAGGCTGGAGCCTCCCAGCCCCCGACGCTGGCCCTGGGTGAAGTCCCGAGTTCTCGTGAGCTAAGGTTTTCCGCCCTGTGCTTGAGAAGTGAGGGCCTGGCCCAGGGGAGCTCTGACATCTGGGGGAAGCAGGAAAGCCCATAATTCAAGTGCCTGGAGAACCAGAGGGTGGTGGGAATTTTTAGCCACCACGGCCATTTCTACGCCCCAAACTCTAACTTCCTGCTAAGCAGTCAGATTGTAGTCTCCAGGGCCAGGAAGCACTGCTGGTGAGAGGGGGTGCCGAGGTTGGGCTTTTAGGGGTTCCCTTAGCCACCCCGGGGACTCAGGCATTACGCCGGGAAAGTCCAGGTCTTACCTGAGGGAGATGGAGCCTTGGAGCAGGACCTGGTTCCCCTTACCCTGCACAGCGTTAGTTAGCCTCCAACAATTCACCAGCAGGCACCATTAGAGGTCTCCCTGTCATGTACCCCCATCCACTGGCTGGCTCCCCATCTCCTGGAGAGCTGGGTGGGTCTGAGCCTGATGCCTCCCCTCTCCTCAGCCGCACTGACCTGGTTACTAATTACCCATGAGCTTTATTATTTCTCTTTTGTTTTATAAATTTATAAACGGTAAAAGGCTCTGATAAGGCCTGTGATCATTAACTTGTAAAGATGGTGGCCTGGGGAGACCTGGGCCAACCAAGCTCCCACCAAGCAGGGGCGGGGGAAGGGGGTCTAGGGGCTTCAGGGACTGCCTCCCCAAAGGCTCCTAAGCTCCAATCCTAACAGCCAGGCACTGTGCTGCCGTGTTACACGCAGACATCCAGATAATGTTGAGACGAACCCTAGAAGGAAGCTAGGGATAACTCTGCTTCACAGACAAGGAAACCGAGGCCCAGAGAGGGAAGGTAGCTTGACTAAGGCCACCCAGCTGAGCCTCCAGGGCCACTCTGCTGGGTGCTTTCAATTGCCAGGATTGGGCAGCCAGAGGGAGTCCCAAAGACGCTCTCTAGGGGACCATCTCTTTTCTGTCCAAGGTCCTGATCCCAGCTTGGAGCCGGGGAGCCTTCAGGGTCTGCCCGGCCTTGCAAGGGCCTGGGCTGGGGGCAGGGAGCATCCTGGGCCCCCTGACTTGGCAGGAAGAAGAGGGCAAAGGGCCCTGCTGAGCTGCAGGGGAGGGGCAAAGAGTCAGGCATTGCCAGACCCAGGGTGAGGGCAACGGGGACAGGGTGGGGCTGGGCCAGACCTGCTCAGGGCCCCAGGTGGGACCGGGGGCTTCGGGTCAGGGTGGGGGCAGGACGTGCCAAGGGCCTTTCTTACCTGGCTGGGTGGGGCCTCTTGATCAGCAGCCCCCTTCAGTGGAATGGTGGGGGGGGAGGCTCGATCCACAGCACTTGAGGGGGGAACAGAGGTCAAAGTGCTCCCTGGGGACCAGCAGAAATCCTGGAAGCTGAGAGAGAGAGAGAGGAGAGCCACAGAGGTAGAGAGGGCATGGGGAGGGGGGATGGAGAAGCCTGGAGAAGCACAGGATAGCAGAGGAGCCAGCGGGGCCGAGGGGCTCACACCCAGCTGGGAGAAGGGGCCGGGGTGAAAGCGAGACGCCCCAAGCTGAGAGGAGGCTGGAGTGCTTCCCCGCCTGCCCCGATTGGGTTTTCTTTAATGCTAACAGCACGCTATTTACTTTCCATTTAAATTTGAGATGTTGCTATAAATTATCAACCAGCTTCTTGTTCCTGCGGAGTTTATAACTAACTACCTGGGTTACTTATTGTTCAGGTAACAAAAGGGATCTGAAAACGCCCCGAGGGAAAAAAGTGGGGCCTCTACCCTCAGGGCCCAGGAGGGAAGCCCTGGGAAGCCAAGTCTTTGGAGAAGACAGTGTGCAGGGAAGAGGCAGGGTGGGTCCCGGCTGAGCAAGGGATGATGGGGAACTGAGCTCTTCCCTTGAACCTCCACCCTTAGTTCACTGTGTGACCTTGGGCAAGTCTTGTCTCCTGCCTCAGTTTACCTAGCTGGCAATGAATAAAATTCAAATCCCCTGCCCTGGGTCCCTAACCTCTTCTTGAGGGAAATCTCCTTCCTCCCTTTCTTCCAGTTATGCTGAATTTGATGATTCCTACCTCAGAGCCTTTGCATGTGCAGTTTCTTCTGTGGATACTTCTTTCTAGATCTTCCTATGACCGATTCCCTCTTCTCCTTTTGCCCAAATGTCACCTCCTCAGGGAGGCCCTCCCTGACTCCCTATCTAAAGGCAGGACCCACCACAATCATACTCTTTCCCACCACCTTCTGTTACTGGCTTTTGTCCCTTAACTTTATTTACGATTATCTAAAAAAATTTTTTTAATGTTTTTTTTTTATTTCTGAGAGGGAGGGAGAGAGACATAGTGAGCAGGGGAGGGTCAGAGAGAGAGGGAGACACAGAATCTGAAACAGGCTCCAGGCTCTGAGCCGTCGGCACAGAGCCCAATGCAGGGCTCGAACCCACGAACCGTGAGTGAGATCATGACCTGAGCCGAAGTTGGATGCTTAACTGACTGAGCCACCCAGGCGCCCCTATTTATGATTGTCTATTTGCATCTGTTTATCTATCTCCTCATGTGAGATTATCTCCTCATGAAAATAGAAGCTTTTCAAAGGGAAAGCCTGTGTGACCTTGTTTACCACTCGAACCCCTGATATCCAGCCCAGTGGCTACCACACAGTAAGAATGAATGAGTAGCTAGGGTTCCCTGAAGCCCTGGGCACCGCTGCTGTAAAGGTCAGGGGAGGAACCGGTACCCAGGGCTCCTTCCTGGGTCTCCTGCTGGGTCCTCCCTGTTCCTGGGCAGCTCAAAGCACAAACTGAGGGTCTGATCTTCTCCATCAGGCAGCACCAGGGCACTGAGACCCTGGAAGACAGTGGCTAAGGTGGGACAGTCTGACATCTCTGAGGCCAACCTGCCTGGGTTCAAATCCCAAATCAGTCCCACCCTAACTTGGGCAGGTGATTTCAAGCCTCTGAGCCCTAGCTTCCTCTGCAAGGCAGAGCTGACAATAACACTTGCCCACGGGGCAGTAAACGGTTGCTATGAGTAATAGTCCTGTTTTACAGATGTGCAAACTAAGGCTCAGAGTTGCAAAATGACTTGCCCAAGGTAATTTACAAAGTAGTACTGGCTGGGACTTGGACCCAGGTCCTCCTAATCCCCACTCTGCACAGCGTCCTTGAGGTTGTATGCCCGTGTCCTTGATAAGTGTATTTCTCTTTTTATCCTCCTGAGCTGCTCTTGCTCTTAACCTCTCACTCCCTTCCACACAGTGCTCTAGAGGTCACGGCGGCTTATAAATCATGGAATTCATTTTCTCCTCCTGGCAACCTGTGAAATATTATTAGCCCCGTATCACAGCTGGGGAAACTGAGGCATGCTGAGGTTAAGGCATTTCCCAAGGCCACCTGCAAAGTGAGTGGCAGAGCTGGGATTCAACCTGAGATGGGACCCTCCCCCCATCTCCACCAGCCACATGCACTGAGAACCCAGCTCTCCCTCCAAATGCGTGGCCCTTCCAGCTGGTCTCCAAGTCCCACAGCCTCGGACCCTCTGAAACCCCTGGGGCCGGCGAGCCAAAGGCCCAAAATCTTGAACCTCTGATTGAGCCCCGAACCTGTAGCAGGTGGGAGGAGGAGATGTGGGCAGATCTTCACCTCTCCTGGGTCCTCTGCCCTCTGCTACGGGGCTGGGGGTCCCGTGGCTACATCATCCATGATGAGGATGATGTGACAAATTGTACTTACTGAGCCACATGCCAGGCCCCGCTTTACGCGGTTCATTCCTAATTGAAACTCACTCATTTGTCCCAAGGGCACTGGGAGGCAGGCGGGGGCTCCCTGCCGTGGTCCAGAGGAGGCGTGGGGCACGCGCACGTGGCGTTTGGGCGCCGTGGTGGGACGTGAACCCAGGTTGGCTTGACTCTTAAACCCACTCGAATAAGAGCAGGAGATACATGGAGCATGGCCTCTTGGTGCTGGGTTGGGAGAACCATCCTGAAAGGGTCAGGTCCTTTGAGACTGATGTGAGTGGGGGGCGGGGGGTGTGGGAGAAAGAGAGAGTGAACAATTGAGAGGCACACAGAGAAGGAAGGGGAGAGAGAGAGAGATGGAGAGAGAGAGAGGGAGGGAGGCAGAAAGAGATAGAGAAAGAGATAGAGAGTGAATCAAATGGACAGTGACAGATTGTAAATCTTTAGTTTGAGCCAGGGAGGCCCCCCCTAAGAGAAAGACTGAGCTCATTCTCTCCTAGGAAGAGAGAAGGGAGGGAGGGAGGTTGCTCAGGAGGGTGATGTCTGCAGCAGGGGGGGAGGGGGGAGGCCAACAGGCAGCCAGGCTCCAGAATCAGATAAACATGTTTGTCTCAGAGCACAGAACTGGACTTTGTACTGCGCTTCTGTCCTGGCTCTGACAGGCATCCAGGGAGAAGGGGAGGGGTTGACAAGGAGGAGGGAGGGCAGAGGAAGAGCTCCAGGAGAGCTTGGGGGGGGGGGGGGTCTGGGCAAAGAGAAACATTCTGGAGTCCCCGCTAGGTTGCTTTGCTCAAGCGCTCCCCTTTCCAAGGCTCTGTTTCCCTATCTGTGAAATGGGTACATAAGTAGCACCTAATTCCCAGGGTTACAGTAAAATGTAAATGGCTGGCTTTTAGCGTGGTGCCTGGTTCATGGTAAATACTCGGGAAACATGACTTCTCACATCCCTCATTTTTATGCATCTGGGACTTGGACACACCTGACTGCTGGCCAATTTAAATTGAATGGTCCCTGCAGCCCTGTCTATGGGAAACGCTGATAAAAAGGAGAAAGTCACGGGCCTGGGCCCCATGCCGCTGAAAGGCTCTGTGCCCATGACACCTGAGAAGGGCATTGTCAAGGGGGCAAGGCCAGGCTGGCTCTTTGGGAAGGAGAGGAGGGGAGAAGGCAGTATGATGAGGTGGGCCTCAAAGTACTGGAGGGTATATTTGCTTTTTGTTCTTTTACAATTTAGTTTTAAGTGTTACCCGTGCATGTACAGCATATTGTACAACGTTGTACTACATTATTTCAAAAGTGCAGAAAAGCCACAGAGGACACTTTCCTCTCCCCCTGTCCCCAGCACCCCATTCCTATCTTGAGACGATCAGTGTCATGAGTGTCTTCTGTGTTCTTCTGGCATTTCATGCAAATACGTGGAAATCTGTCACGCCGCTTCACATTTTACACAGATCGCACAGCAAGCCTACCAGAGGGGCTCTGTTCCATATGGGCTCAGGGAGAGCTTCCTGGGTGGGTTTCCACGGTTACATCTCCCAGAGGCACCGCAATCACAACTCTTGCGCTGGACACTTAGGTGGTTTCCAGTATTTTCAGCAAGCAAAATGAACTGCCTCCTACTACTGCTATTTGTCACATGTGCAAATACTGGAAGGCTCAAGTTCTAGAAGCAAACTGCTCAGTTGAGGAGGTGAGAGCCTCAGGCTCTGGAACCCCACAGAGCTGGGTTCAACCCCCACCCCCACCCCGCTCTGCCTATTGCGGCACTGTCGCGTGGAACTGTTTTTACCTGACACATATTTGTCAGACAAGCTCAGGAGAGGACTGGGCAAAGAGAGGAGGGTCGAGACACAACAGGAGAGGCAGAGAGTGCATTTGTGCAGTCCAGGCAGTCGGAACCCCCCATTCTCCAGTGAGCAGAGCATGAGAACGTGAAGCGTAGATGGCAGTCTCTCCAGTGAGAGTCTCAGCGTGCGCACGTGCACACACACACACAAACACGCACACTCTTGTATAGGCCCCTGCATATCAGCTGGTAACCTTTTCACCTGGACCTGTCTGCCCCTGTGCTCTGGGAAACTGGCCAGCCCACAGCTTAGGGGTTAGTCCAGATTTTCAGGGGGTGTTCTGACCCTGTGTGATTTCTACCTGATAGGATGACTTAGAACAGAATCCCTTCATATGGGAGGGACTCTGCTGGGCTGTCCCTGTGACCTTGGGCAAAAGATGCAATGCCAGCACTCTTAGCATCAGTGACTCTGGCTGTAAAATGAGAGAATTATTTTTCTCTCCTTGTTTTCAGAACCATTCCCCCATCCACCTGGCCCTAGTAGGTCTCTCCCTTAGCCATCCATCCATCTGCTCACATTCCTATTCACTTATCCATCTACACTCCCATTCATTCATCAAACTACCCATCCATGCAGGCACCATCTATTTATCTAGCTATCCATCCATCCACCATCCCATTTACCCAGCCATCTATCCATCCACCCATGTATATATTCCCCTATCTACCTATCCATCTACCCTCTTATCCATTCATCCAACTGCCCATCCATCCAGCTACTATCCACCATCTATTTATCCATCTATCCATCTATCCATCCATCCACCATCCCATTCAACCACCCATTTCTCCAACCCTCTATCCACCTACCCTCCCATTCATTCATCCATCCACCCATCCACTATCCCATCCATCCACGCACTCACCCATCCACTCATTCATTCATGCATTCACCATGGACATGCAGGCCTATTTTGGGTGCTGAAAACCAGAGAGTTCCTGCCCTCCAAGCGTTTACAATCTCTCACAGTGGATAAGACACAGCCACAAATAACATTTTGAGGTAGGATGAGATGGGGGATCTTTAAAGGAGACATAAAGGTGAGGATCTTCCCCAACTGGCTTGTATAGCTTCTGGTGGGAGTCTGTTCATGTCTTCATCTCGGCCCATATGTCTGTGCATTCATGTTTCTAAACTTTTATCTGTGTCCTTGTCTATGTGGTACTATTTGAGGCCTGTGTCCACGTGTGTGTGTGTGTGTGTCTTTAGTGTCTGCGTCCCTGTGTCCTGGACAGCCCTTACCTTGCTGTCCCCTGAGTCTAAGTGTCCCTGTGTCTTGGCAAGAGTGCCCTTACCTTGATGTCCCTGAGACTAAGAGTAGGTCCCAGGCTCGGTGCCTGCTTTCACCCCCAATCCCCACTCTCAGGGCTGACGGGCCCCCAACCCTGCCTGCACCCCCACGCTGAGCAGGCTCTGTCCTGGCCCTCCTCCTAGGGAGGACCCGTGGCGCGTGGCCAAGATGGTCAAGTCCTACCTGCAGCAGCACAACATCCCCCAGAGGGAGGTAGTCGACACCACCGGCCTCAACCAGTCACACCTGTCCCAGCACCTCAACAAGGGCACCCCCATGAAGACACAGAAGCGAGCGGCCCTGTACACCTGGTACGTCCGCAAGCAGCGAGAGGTGGCCCAGCGTAAGTAATGACCACAGCCCCGTCCTCCCTGCAGCTCTGGGCGGGGGGGGGGGGGGGGGGGGGGGGGGGGGGGGGGGGGGGGGGCGAAGTCCCTCCGCCGCAACACGGGGACAGGCCGTCTGCGTCCGCGGGAGTCGACCGGCGACCGGCACTTGTTACCTGTTCGCGCGAGGCACTCGGGGGGAGGGGAGTAGGTGGGTCCTGGGCATCCGAAGATGGATGCATGGGGTCCCTGCCTTCTAAGTGCTCTGTGTGGAAGGGAAGCAGGAGGGTAGGAGAACAGGTCATTATGATACAGCGAGACGTGTATTACGTGATGCAGACAACAGTAAGAGCTAGTGTTTATGGAGAATTCGCCGCGTGCCAGGCGCAGTGCAGAGTAGGACTCCATAAAGTATTTCAAAAAATTTTTTTGTAATGTTTTATTTATTTCTGAGAGAGAGAGAGGTAGCGTGAGCAGGGGAGGGTCAGAGAGAGAGGGAGACACAGAATTCGAAACAGGCTCCAGGCTCTGAACTGTCAGCACAGAACCCGATGAGGGGCTTGAACCCACGAACCATGAGATCATAACCTGAGCCGAAGTCGGACGCTTAATCGCTTAATCGACTGAGCCACCTAGGCGCCCCAGATTTCCCTATTATTAACACTAGTATGGGATATTATTTTTAAAGTTTTATTTATTTATTTATTTATTTATTTATTGAGACAGAGAGAGAGAGAGAGAGAGAACACAAGCTGGGGAGGGCCAGAGAGAGAGAGGCAAGAGAATCCCAAGCAGTCTCTGCAGTCAGCACAAAGCCCGATGAAGGGCTCCAACTCACGAACCATGAGATCATGAACTGAGCCTAAATCAAGAGTCGACACTTAACTGCCTGACTGAATGAGCCACTCAGCCACCCCTAGTATTGGCCATTTGTCACAACAAAGAAACCAACACTGACACACTATTATTAAGTCCATACTTCATTATTCGGATTTCCTTGGTTTTCCCCTAATGTTAATGTCCTTTTTCTGGACCGGGATCACATCCAGTTGTGGACATACTTTATTTACTTGCCATGTTGCCTTAGGTTGCTCTGGCCTGTGACAGTTTCTCGGATTCTCCTTGTTTTTGATGGCTTTAACAGGACAGTTAAAAAAAAACACTTTTTTTTAAATGTTTTGTTTTTTGTTTTTTTTTTTGAGAGAGAGAGAGAGAGAGACAGAGCATGAGCAGGGGAGAGTCAGAGAGAGAGGGAGACACAGAACCCGAAGACAGACTCCAGGCTCTGAGCTGTCAGCACAGAGCCTGACTCAGGGCTCGAACCCATGAACCGCGGGATCATGACCTGAGCCGAAGTCGGATGATTAAGAGATTGAAGCCACCCAGGCGCCCCGACAGAATAGCAATTTTTAAGCTGAAATGTTTTCATTTTCTGGCCAAGTCATAGTGTCTGGTACTCCAGATCTTGGTCCGGCCGGCTGCCAGGAGAGATGGCCAACTGAGTCTGCTGGAGTCTGAGTCACGCAGGCTTCTCGTGGTCTCGAGGTGGGTCTAATCCCACCTGTCCTCAGAGCACCCGTGCTGGCTTCTGCCTCTTGAAACTCAGAGGGATGAAGGCACCCCTTCTGCCCTATCCCTGACTCGATCTTCCTGCCTCCTCTCTCAGAAAAATGGCCTGGCACTTATCTGTTATATTCCCTTGGTGGCTTGCTCAGGGATAATCTAATAGTTTCCATTAAAGTGGAACCAGCTGGGGCGCCTGGGTGGCTTAGTCGGTTAAGCGTCCGACTTTCGCTTAGGTCATGATCTCACGGTTCGTGGGTTCAAGCCCCGCGTCGGGCTCTGTGCTGACTGCCAGCTCAGAGCCTGGAGCCTGTTTCAGTCTGTGACTCCCTCTCTCTCTGACCCTCCCCTGCTCAAGCTATCTCTCTCTCTCTCTCAAAAAAAAAAATAAAAAAAAAAAAAAAAAAAAAATTTTTAAAGTGGAACCAGCTGACAAGGACTGGCTGGGTCCCCCCTCTCCCAGCCAACACTTGCATGTTAAGTGTGCTTTACACGTCTGAAAAGTTTAAAATAGCTCCGAATCTACTCAAGAACTGTGGTTCAAGTTTCTATTCTACTGTGCAGCCCTGGAAAGGTATTTAGCCTCTCTGAGCCTCAGCTTCACCTGTAAAAGGAGACAGCAAATGTGTTAAATCTGAACAAACACCAATGCTTACCTGGAGCCCTGTACTGAAAAGGACGGGGAGCTATGTCTTGGCTCAGTAGAAAATGGTGCAGGGTTTTTAATTTTTTTCTTAGAAAATGTAATATTTATCCCACAAGTGCACTTGTGGGGATGAGCACCGGGTGTTATATGGAAACCGACTTGACAATAAATTATTAAAGAAAAAAAGAAAATGTAATATTTATTTGTTTTTTATGGTTTTTTAAAAATATATTTTATTGTCAAGTCAGCTAACATACAGTACGCACAGTGTGCTCTTGGCTTCGGGAGTAGATTCCCGTGATTCATCACTTCCATAAAACACCCAGTGCTCGTCCCAACAAGCACTCTCCTTCCTCCATGCCCATCACCCAATTTCCCCTCTCCCCCACCCCCCATCAACCTCAGTTTGTTCTCTGTATTTAAGAGTCTGCTATGGTTTGCCTCCCTCTCTGTTTGAAACGATTTTTTCCCCTTCCCCTCCCCTCTTCTGCTAAGTTTCTCATGTTCCACACAGGAGTGAAAACATGGTATCTGTCTGTCTCTGCCTGACTTATTTCACTCAGCATAACACCCTCTAGTTCCATCCACGTTGTTGCAAATGGCAAGATTTCATTCTTTCTCATTGCCGTCTAGTATTCCATTGTCTATATAAACCATATCTTCTTGATCTATCCGTCAGTTGGTGGACATTTGGGTGCAGGGGTTGATTAGTGATGTCTGCTTTGGACACAGGTTAGGACAGGGGTGGCATGTGTGCTGTGTACCTGTCATCATTGGATTACATGACTTCTAAGTTCTAGCTGTAAGCTCGTTGGGCTCAGCACCCTGGGAATAAGAAAGAAACAGGCGCGTGGCCAGGAGCGGGAAGGCAGGAGTGAACTGCATCCTGCTTATGGCTCTCTGTGCCTACAGAGTTCACCCACGCAGGGCAGGGTGGGCTGATTGAAGAGCCCACAGGTGATGAGTTGCCGACCAAGAAGGGGCGGAGAAACCGTTTCAAGTGGGGCCCGGCCTCCCAGCAGATCCTGTTCCAGGCCTATGAGAGGCAGAAGAACCCCAGCAAGGAGGAGCGAGAAGCACTGGTGGAAGAGTGCAATAGGTAGACTGGCTGGTGGGTTGGCAGGGCTGATTTGGTCTGGGTGGGGCCAAGGTCGGGAGAGGGTGGTCCTGGGTTCGGAGGGAAGCTTGCCAGTCCTTGAGAGCTCCTCCTATTGGCCCTGGAGCACTCAGCTTCTGCTCGATGTCTGGAACCTAGCTCCACTCCTATAGCACCCACTCCCCACCCACCCCACCAACCCTTGAGTGGCTGCTCATCTCATACACCCTCATTACTACCCTAATGGCTATTTTGCTCACTTTATAAGTGACGAGACCGAGAGAGGCTAAGACACTTGCCCCAGGTCACACAGCAGAACTGGGATTACAACCCAGATCTGCCAGTTTTAAACATTAAGGTAGAACCCTACCTCTCAGAACTCTCTTCCCCACCTACAGCCCTAGCAGAGGGTTCCTCTGAGCCCGGCCTGGAGGCTCACAAATGGCCATTTCTGCAGGGCGGAGTGCATCCAGAGGGGGGTGTCACCATCGCAAGCACAGGGGCTGGGCTCCAACCTCGTCACGGAGGTGCGTGTCTACAACTGGTTTGCCAATCGGCGCAAGGAAGAAGCTTTTCGGCACAAGCTGGCCATGGACACATACAGTGGGCCAGGCCCCGGCCCTGCGCTGCCAGCCCACAGCTCCCCGGGATTGCCCCCACCTGCCCTCTCCCCCAGTAAGGTCCACGGTGAGTGCTGTGTGGGCAGGGGGATGGAAACAGTAGAGGGTAGGCCGGTGAGCTGGGGAGCACCATCTCCGTGGCAGTGGCCACCCAAACCTCTTAGTCCTTGAGCTTGGCTCCTTATCACTCCGCCCCACTCATGTCTCTCTCTATCCAGTCCTCTCCAGTCCACTCCACTGACCACACCCCTCCATTCCATTCTGTCCAGCCTAACTTGACTTGGGTTACTTCCATTCAGTTCATTCAAGATCAGTTCAATTCAATTCACTTCCATTCAATTCAATTCTGTTCAACTCATTATGATCCAATTTAGTTCCTTGAAAGTACACTCCGTCTAACTAAATATAATAGGAGGAAATGAAATTAATTTTGTACAGCTCTGTTCAATTCAATCTAGTTCTCTTTGATCTGATTCAGTTCAACTCCATGTGCTCAACCTAGCTCAGTTCGTTTCAGGCTCACTTCAGCTGGATTCCATTTCATTGAACTAATTCCAGTTGCTTCTATTCAACTTGGCTCAGTGCAATTTCATCAGCCTCAGCTTCTGTTGATTCGAATGTCTTTCACTGCACACCTACTGCCTATCACATGTAGTGCTAGTCAGAGGGGGCCACGGAGCTAATTAAACTCAGGTCTTGCCTTCAAGGAGTTGGAAGCATCAGCCTGGGACCTGGCAGTAAGATGCTCAGGTGAAGCTTGCTGGCTGCACACAGAAAGATGGGGCAAGTGGCCTCAGCACACCAATGCAGTTTGGAATGATGAGGGCCACGGAGGGCAGGGAAGGGGGGTGCTGAGGCTGGGTGCTGCTCCTATTCCAGGTGTGCGCTATGGACAGCCAACGACCAGTGAAGGGGCAGAAGTGCCCTCAAGCAGAGGTGGTCCCTTGGTGACAGTGTCTGCACCCCTGCACCAAGTGTCCCCCACGGGCCTGGAGCCCAGTCACAGCCTGCTGAGCACCGAAGCCAAGCTGGTGAGTGTCCCCATACCCCCAGGTAGGGGCACCCCTCCCAACCCTGTCTTCCATCTTCCCTTGGCTGGGAGATTCCAGAGTCATCCGCCGGGAGCTGGTGTGGTGCTCCACCTTGACTCAGCTTGGTTTCCCCTCCAAGGTCTCAGCAACTGGAGGCCCCCTCCCCCCTGTCAGCACCCTGACAGCACTGCACAGCTTGGAGCAGACATCCCCAGGCCTCAACCAACAGCCCCAGAATCTCATCATGGCCTCACTTCCTGGGGTCATGGCCATTGGGCCTGGTGAGCCTGCCTCCCTGGCGCCCACCTTCACCAACACAGGTGCCTCCACCCTGGTCATCGGTAAGTTGGTGGGCATGGGGGGGCACCCCCGTGGGAGGGTTCATGGGGCTCCCACAGAATCCAGAACCTGGAAGAGTCACTGGGGCTCATTCATTCATTCATTCACTCATTCATATATTGAGTGCCTGCGCTGTGCCAGGACTATGCTACATCAGTGATACACAGATGAACCAAACAGACCGAAATCTCAATGACTCGAGTGGGGAGGCAGACAACAAACATAATACAGACATCATATAGTGTCTTGGAAGGCAAAATGTCTATGGGAAAAGTAAGCGGAGAAAGGGGGATCAACGTTTTGTAGGTCTTAGGTTGCGTATGGTTTTGTAAAAGATGTTTTATTTTTGAGAAAGCGAGCGAGCAAGGGAGGGGCAGAGAGAGGGAGAGAGAGGATCTGAAGTTAGCTCTCCACTGACAGCACAGAGCCTGATGCAGGGCTCAAACTTATGAACCGTGAGATTGTGACCCAAGCCAAAGTCAGACACTTAATCAACTGAGCCACCCAGGCGCCCGTTTTTTGTTTTTTGTTTTTTTAAGCCCAGAAAGACTTCATTTGCAGGAACGGTGATGCAGAGCTCAATGGATAAGACAGATAGGGAGCTGCTGGGAGAGGGGCACAGAGTTAAGCTGCAGGGCCTTTGAACTGCTGTGGAACCCCAGGGCTCTAGGGAACCTAGTTTGACTCAGCCCCTGCCTATATAATGAGTTAGAGGCTCAGAGAGAGGGAGTGACTTGCCTGGATCATGTAAGTTAGGGATGGCTCCTAGGGCAAAGGTGTCTCCTAGTCGCCTCTTCCCTCCCCACAACCCTTTGGCTCTGGGAGAGAGGGACAGTGCCCCCAGGGGTCGGTGAAGGGGGTAGGAAGCCTGGCTGACTCCTGTTCCTCCCACTCCAGGCCTGGCCTCCACTCAGGCCCAGAGCGTGCCGGTCATCAACAGTATGGGCAGCAGCCTGACCACCCTGCAGCCGGTCCAGTTCTCCCAGCCGCTGCACCCTTCCTACCAGCAGCCACTCATGCCCCCCATGCAGAGCCACGTGGCCCAGAGCCCCTTCATGGCCACCATGGCCCAGCTGCAGAGCCCCCACGGTGAGCACTCCCTGGGCATGGAAGGGGCTGAGTGTCTACGAGCACGGGGAGTAGTGTGGCTTAGCAGCTGTTGTGGTGTGTGTGTGTGTGTGTGTGTGTGTGTGTGTGTGTGTATGTGTGCGTGAGCATGTGCGCACGCGTGCTTCTGTGATGAGGCGGTCTGCAGGCCAGAATAGGATTCAGCATGTGTGTGCAGCATTTCTGTGAGTGCAAAGGCAAGTGGCTGTGCACTGGTGTTTGCAGGTGCACACCCACGTGTGAGAGGACAGGTCACAGCCCTGTCTCTGAAACCCAGGGGGCCACGTGTGTTTCAGAATTCGCTACTTCTCAGACTTTACATATGGTGGATCCACCACATGTTACATCGCACTCCCAGCAGGGCTCAGGCAATATCTGGTCAAAGCACTGGGATTTTTCTGCGGCAGGAGGTAGTTTGCCACGAAGGAGGTTAATAAAGACAGACACAACCTGACACCGGGCTTGGGTGGGAGTTTGCCACCAAACGCGCTCTAGTGCTGACCTTATGAAAACCAGTGGGTTTTTCCGACCTTTTTGGAGTTCAGAATTGGGGATGAGCGACTGTGGACCGTGGACCTGTGTATCTGTGTGGATTTGATTCAGTGCACGTATTTATGTGCGTATGGTTTTCTCTGAGCCGATGTGGGAATGTGTGGTTTTGTGTTTTTCTGCTGGTGTCTGTGTGAGTTCTTGTAGGGCTGGGCTGTAGGTGAGACTTTGGGTGACATTTTGGAGACCTGTCTTGGGGGTGGAGCTACGTGGCCCTCTGTCCGGCTCATGCCCTAACAGGAGCCACCGGCCTTTCCCTCCACGGCCTGTACTTAGTACAACAGCACCTGTCCTCCCCCAGCCTTCCCCCCACTGAGCCAGCCTGAGCAGGGTCCTGTAGTTGGGGAGAGGGTCTAACCCCTCTATCTGGAGCTCCCAGTCCTGGAAATCTGTCCTGAGTCCCCAGCCACTGCTCCACTGGGCCATTTACCAGGCCCTGTGCCTCATTTCCCCCAGAGTGCCAGCTCTGAGGCCCTCTTGGGAGGGGTCCAGCCTGGCCCAGGGTGCCAGGCCTTTATCCCCTCCTCTCTCCTCCCCGCCGGCCAGCCCTCTACAGCCACAAGCCTGAGGTGGCCCAGTACACCCACACGGGCCTGCTTCCGCAGACCATGCTCATTGCCGACACCGCCAACCTGAGTGCTCTGGCCAGCCTCACGCCTACCAAGCAGGTAAGGCCCAGGCCTGCCCCGCCCCTTGCTCACCCCCCAGCCCCCACGAGTGCACCCATGGGGGCGCTCAGGAGGCTGCTCTGTTCCCCCAGGTCTTCACCTCCGACACGGAGGCCCCCAGTGAATCCGGGCTGCACACGCCGGCATCTCAGACCACCACCATCCACATCCCCAGCCAGGACCCCGCGGGCATCCAGCACCTGCAGCCCGCCCACCGGCTCAGCGCCAGCCCCACCGGTGAGCCGCCTTTCCCTGCTGCGCCCTCAGGCGGGGAGGAAGGTGTGTGCAGCAAACAGGTGCCCGGTGCTCCCCTGAAGTGAGCCAGGAGGGGTGTGAAACCACAGGGAGATGGGCCTATCTTATGAGAATATCTCACTGACTCGGATGAGGAAAAAGATCAATTGCAAGAGACAGAGGAGGGTAATGATGAGGAGTAAACTGGTCTTGTTGTGGCTGGAGGTGGCTCAGAGGTGTGGTGGTTGGCTCAGGGCTTAGCATTGTTTGAGTTTGTTGCCCACGTTTAAAGATTAGCTTTCTAATCTTTAACATTTTTTTATGTTTTATTTATTTCTGAGAGAGAGACAGACAGACAGACAGCAGGAGCAGGGGAGGGGCAGAGAGAGGGAGACACAGAATCTGAAACAGGCTCCAGGCTCTGAGCTGTCAGCACAGAGCCTGATGCGGGGCTCAAACCCACAGACTGTGAGATCATGACTTGAGCCGAAGTCGGGCACTTAACCGACTGAGCCACCCAGGCACCCCATAGCTTTCTAATTTCTGGCTTTTCCTGGAGAATTAGAGACCTGTGTTCCCACGCAGCAACAAGAGTATGGGCTCTCTAGGTCACCTACATCCCACTTGATACCCTGAGCCTGTAATCTACAATGTTGATGAAGGGCGGGCACTTGGGAGTCAGGCTGCTGGGCTCTGAGGCCGGGGATGATCATTCACTAAGTGTGGGACTTTGGGCAGCCGTTCTACCCTGTGAACATGTCTCTATCCAGCCCTGGTGGCTGCAGTGACAGGTACTGAGGGCTCCCTGCTCTGCCTGCGGGGCACGTGTCATCCTCCCCATTTTAAAAAGGAGAAAGCAGACACTCAAGGAGGTGAGGGACCTGGTCTCGCCTCTGACAGCTACTGCTAGGTGGCAAGACCGGGACTTGAACCCAGGTCCACACTCAAAGCCCATTCTCTTAGCTACTGGCAGCGGTCGGGGTTCTGGTGAGTCACAGAACCTATAGGAATACAGCAGACTCCTGAACAACGTGGGGCTTGAATTGCATGGATCCACTTACATGTGGATTCTTTTCATTTTTTACTTTTCTTTAAGTTTATTTATTTTGGGAGAGAGAGAGACAGAGAATGAGTGGGGGAGGGGCAGAGAGAGAGGACAAAGGCTCCAAAGTGGGCTCCCTGACAGCAGAAAGCCCGATGAGGGGCTTGAACTCACAAACTGTGAGATCATGACCTGAGCAAGTAGCAAGCTTAACCGACTGAGCCACTCAGGCGCCCCCATGTGGATTTTTTTAATACAGCACAGGACTGTAAATGTATTTTCCTTATGATGTTCTTTTTTAAATGTTTATTTATTTTTGAGAGAGGCAGAGAGAGACAGACAGACGGACACAGGCTGAGAGAGAGGAAGAGGGAGAGAATCCCAAGCAGGTTCCGTACTGTGTGTGCAGAGCCCGGGCTTGAACTCACAAACCACAAGATCATGACTTGAGCTAAGTTGGATACTTAACAGACTGAGCCATCCAGGCGCCCTTTCTTTATGACCTTCTCGATATTTTCTTTCCTCTAGTTTACTTTATTGCAAGAATACAGTGCCTAGTACCTATAGCATGCAAGATATGTATCAATTGGCTGTTTATATTATTGGTAAGGTTTCCTGTCAATAGTAGGCTATTAGTAGCTAAGTTTCTGGGGAGTCAAAAGTTATCTGTACATTTGTGACTGCGCAGGGGGTCAGCACCCCTAACCCTCACACTGTTCGAGGCTCAGCTGGGTAGACACATACTTAAGGACCCGGCTGACGCGCCTGTGGGGCCGCAGGTCTGAGAGCTGTAGGAGAGACCAGCAGGCTGGCGCAGGAGGGGAGATTTAACCCTGCAGTCTTGAGGTAGGAAGATTCGCTAGGAAGCCTCAGCTTTTGCTCTTAAGGCCTTCGACTGATTAGATGAGACCCACGCATGTCATCCAGAGCAATCTCCTTTAAAGTCAACTGATGAGAGGTGTTAAAAGCGCACCTACACAATACCCCCACTGCAACGCTTAACTGTTTGGTCTGATGACTGTGCTGCAGCCTAGCAACGCAGATGTGTAACTAACCACAGCATCTCACCAGGGCTCACTAAGACGTCCCGAGGGGGCCACTCCCTGGGTGGCTCCGGAGCCTGGCTGGGGGTTAATGAGACCCAAGTGTAGAGGATTGGGGTTGTGGTTACCTGCTGCACCCCAGCAGGTGGTGAGGCCCTGAGTGCCCTGTCCCAAGTACCCCAGGGATGGGGGCGCGAGGTGGGGTGGGAGGGGCCCGGGCAGGCAGCCAGCGGTCTCATTTGCCCCTGCAGTATCCTCCAGCAGCTTGGTGCTGTACCAGAGCTCTGACTCCAACAACGGCCACAGCCACCTGCTGCCATCCAACCACAGTGTCATCGAGACCTTCATTTCCACGCAGATGGCTTCGTCCTCCCAGTAACCACAGCAACCGTCTCCCAGGGGCTGGGCCCCACCTGGAGCCTGCATGGCCTGCTGGGGGGTGACCGGCACATCTGAGCCTGTGGAACTTTCACTGCCACAAGAGAATGGCCTTCCCTGGAAAACTGCGTGGGTCCCCACCCTGCTCTGTCAGCATCGGAAAGGAGGGTTTCAAGGTGCCCCAATCTCAGGAGGGCTGTTTCAGTACAAGAGGGGACTGTGGAGAGCTGGGGAGCAGAGCAAGACACGGACAAGAGGGACGGTCCCTGCTGCTCAGGGTGAATCTGGTCACTTGGAACAGTACGGGGCAGCCTCTGGACCCTGGTGCCTCCAGCCTGTGCCTGTGGAGAGCCCTGGCACCCCAAGGGAACCCTTGCAGCCGCACCCCTCAGGACACAAGGCTGCGCAGCTGTGACTCACGGAGCTCAGTGAGAGGCCCAAGATCAACACGGCCCCGCCCTGCCACCTGTGCCCCAACCAGGCCCCTCTGCCCTGCCCCAGTTCCAGCCACTGACTCCTGCTCTCCACTCAAATAAGCATTCTCCGAGTGGCTACTCAGTGCCAGCGCGCGGGGCTCAGAAGCCCCCGCCCCAGGAGAGCTCAGGCTAGCAGCGAAAGCATGCAGGACCCCTGGGCTTCCGGAGCCATCCCTCTCCCTGGCCTCCCACATGGCCGTTTCTCTTGCCCATTCGTCCCCCCGGGCATCACACCTTCTAATGCCAGCCTGGTATCTTGCCTCAGTGGAAAGACCCCTCCCCCCCAGGACTAGAAAGTCCCTCTTGCCCCCCGGGAGCCTTGTGACTCTGCGCCTGGTGCTGCGGTTGAGGTTCCAGGCAACAGCTCCCCTGGCCTGTGGGGCCCGGCACGGGGATGGCGGAAGGCCAGAAGGCAGCAAGGTCTGAGTAGGTGGGAGCCCAGGTGCCCAGAGGGTAAGGAGAGAGGCGCTTCCTGCGGGGGCGGGGCTGCTGCCTGGATGGCTGGGAGCTAGGCCGGCCCAGGGAGGGCAGCCACAGCCACGGCCTGGAGCCTGAGGTCCTGAGTGCCACACGAGGAACACGGCAGCTGCGCGGGGCCGGGGCTCTAGGACCTCCTCTCCGGGGAGGGGCTGCAGCTGACCTGGCCATGCGGGCTGCTCCCACCCTGGGCCCAGGAAAGGGCCGGCGCAGAATGAGCGTCCCCCGCAGCTCGCAGCCAGCAGAGGCCCAGCCTGTGCATTTATTTAACTTTTAGTAAAGGAAATGAGGAATGGAGTAGTGGAAACGAGTACTGGGGACTTCTTGGTTGTCCATACATTGCCCAGACGGCGCTGGGCAGGCACAGGGAGGCGGCGGCGCTGGGCAGGCACACATACTCTCACATCCCACCTCTGTCTTTCTTGCTCTGCTGAACCTCAGAGTCGAGGCCATGAGGCCAGAATTTTGACTTAACCTTGAGCTTCTGCTCTTCCCTGCAGAACGCTCCAGGCGTCTGAAAACCGGTCCACACGTGCTGGGGTGCTTCCCGAAGCCCTGAGGCTGGGGTGCAGGAACACAGCTTGGGGTGCAGGGGGGACCCCACCTATGCGGTGCTTATTTAAAATGTCTCATCAAGACTGGGCGTGGACAGGGAGGGAGGGCCTCTCGACAATTTATTTTCAATCATCTGGTTGGCTCAAAGACACATTCACACTCATGCGAGGTACATTCACACACGTGGGGTAAGAAAATTCTGGAAGCCCAGGAGGGAATCTCTCTCCTTTTTCAGACAATGTTATATCAAGTCTGTACAGCCTGGAGGGAGAGGAAAAATTATTTCTGGGACTTGTCTCTCAGGGGCCTCTTCCCTCGTGCACTGAAGGGTATCTCCAGCACCAGGTTCAGAAGGTGGACAGGAAGGAAAAGCTCTCCCTTCACTTATTCTCCTCATACAGTACTGGGAAGATGAAAGCTTTACCCTGTGGCCATCGGTCCTGAGGAACTACAAGGCTCCTTTTTCCTGAGGCCACAGAATGTTCTGGTACCACACATCTGCCCAAGCTCCCAATGGGAGCACAGACGGGCAGGCCTTGTTTAGGCTTCTCACCTTACAGCCATGTCTCTGTCCCGACCCTTGGGCGAGCCCGTCACGGCCAGTCTGGTGGGGCTTGGAAATGCCTCGTCCTCGGGCCTGTGGGCCCCGGGCCTGTGGGCTCGGGTCAGTTTGCAGGCGTGGCCACTGCACTCTTTGTTGGTGGGGATGCGGAAGCCTCACTGGCCCTCTTTGCTTTTTTTCTCCTTCTCTTCTTTTTGGTCCCAAGTGATGCCTGGTCTCCATTGAGCTTGGGTGACTGCGTTTCCTGCTTCCCTACCGCGGCCCCGCTTATGGTGAGGGTGGCGGCGGCGACCGAGTCGGCACTGGCCTCCTTCTTGGCTTTCTTTTTCAACTTCTTTTTCTTCTTCTTCGCCTCTTTCTCCACTTTGACAGGGCCGTGGATGGCAGACTCCTGGAGGATGTCGGAGGCCGACACGGCCGCCTCCCGGCACCGCTGCCACTCCTCGTCGCTGTCCTCAGTGCTACAAGGGGGGGGTGGTGCACAGGGTGGGGACAGGGCCCCAGAGCCGGCACAGCCCAGGGAGAGGCCACAGGGAGAGGCCGCTAGACAGCTCGGGCTTGGGGGAGAGGCCAGCCTGGGTTCCGACACTGGCTTCTCTGCTTCCCAGCTGTGTGATCTCATTAAATGACTTGACCTCTCTGGCCCTCAGTGTTTTCAGCCATGGAACGGGGATCATAACCGAGCCCGGGTCTCACAGGGACGCCCCAGGAGTGAGGTGTCTGGCACAAGGCAGTGCTCAGAAAGCAGTAAAGATCCAAAGGCAAAACCCCCAAAAGAACCCTCGTCCCCCTCCCATGGAGGGTGCTATTTGTCGAACTCCCTGCCAGGGCTCCTTCTTGGCTGGGACCTGACTGGATGCTGTATGGCTATTCTGGGGGACTGGCACGCCCAGATGATGGGCGAAAAGGAGGGAAGACGAAGGGGGTGTGAGGCCTCACCTGGAGCCGGAAGGTAACCGCTTTCGGCTGGGCTGGGGAGCAGCTTTCTTGTCGGAGCCTCCAGGGACAGATGTGAAGAAGAGGCGGAAGCCTAAAACCCAAAGGGGGTCGAGTCAGCACTGCCAGGGGCAGCCCCTCCTCCCAGGTGCCAAGGCTGTCCCGCCTCTGCCCTCAAGGAGATCCTGGTCCAGAGGCGAAGACCCAGGAATCACCGGGCTGGGCATTCGCTGACTACGAAGTCTAGATGTATGGTGAGAGGCACGGTGAGCGTCCTGGAGCCAGGGCGCGGGGTGCCTGAGGGGACGCCAGCTGCTTGCCCTACGAGGCTTCTGGAAGCCAGCAGTTGAGCCTTCCGCCTAAGGCAGCTTCCAAAGTGGCAAGTGGGTTGGGGGCAGGACGGACAGACTCAGCCGGGAGAGGCTGTGGAGTGCGGTGGTTAAGACGTCCCTTCTCGGGGTTGGACAGACAGAGCGATTTCAGTTCGCAGAGCCTCAGCTCCCCCAACACCCTGCCCTGCAAGTGGGGATATCATCATCCTCCCTGCCTCTGACAGGGCTGGGCGGGCCCCAGAATGCACTGGAACTGTGTTTGCCAGCCCCAGACACACATCAGGCAGGAGACGCAGAGCCGGCATTATTAATAGTGTTAACCGCTCACCGTCATCCTCTGGGGGGACTTTCTGGATCTCAGCCTTTTTCAGCTCCTTCGCTACTTCTGAGATGGTAATTGAGCTATGGAAGGAGGAAATGGTTGATTTAGGATGAGATTTGGGGTAGCAAGGAAATTAAAAACAAAAAATTAAAACAATTTTTTTTTTCAGTGGAGGGGATGGGCACGTGATGTTAAATGCAATGGCAGCAAGCATGCTGGCCTGGTGAGAAGGGTTAATGCCTGCAGCCATAACATACTGACTAGCTGAGACCGCAGTGCCTCATTTGTTTGAACCCCATTTTACTCCAGAAAGTGTTGAGGAAGTTTTAGAGATAGACACACACAGGACCACAGAATGAATGCAGTTTTGAATACAGCAAAGAAAAGAAGCCAGGAGGGACAGAAAGTGCTGGAGAGCAGACATGAGTTTGCTTTGAACGTCCTGGCAGCAAGCATGAAAAGGGAAATAGGACCGATCTAGAGAACTGGTTCAGAGGTCAGCTACTAGAGCAGAGCAGACCCGTTGTTTTATTCTTTTCTTAATTTTCAACTTTTTAAAAACTGAGGTAATTATAGATCGCCATGCAGCTGCAAGAAATAAAACAGGGATCCCATATACCCTTCCCTTCTCTCCTTGTGGTGACACCGTGCATGAGTAGGGTCCAGTGTCACAGCCAGGAAACTGACGCTGCTCTAATCCACTGACTTTACACTTCAGACACCTGGCTTGGAATCCTGGCTTCGTCACATACTAGCGGCGTCTCCTTGGGCAGCTGACTTCATCTCTCTGAGCCTCTCTGTTTCCCACCTGCACCCTGAGAATGGTAACCCTTCCTTTTAGAGTTGTCACAAGGATGAGATGAGAGAGTGAGTATCAAGCACTTAGCACAGAGCTTGGCCGCAGGAAGGCGCTCAGTAAATGGGAGCCGTGCTGATGGTGATGACAATCACTGCCATCAGGAGAAGCAGGGAGGACTACTGAGGTCAGGACGCATCTCGCGAGCGAATGCTAAGAAGTCACCACATCCTGCAGAGAAGAGCACTCTCAACGGTATCCTGGCAGCAAACACAGCAACACACCCACTGTGTGCATTCTCCTAACTGCCTTTCATCTGTGCTGAAGATGTTCCCAGAGGGCTGTGCAGAAGGCAGAAGGAGGGCACGGAGCTGCCGCCACCCAGGCACCTGCCTCGGGCTCGTGTGCCTAACACAGTGGCTCAATGTCGGCTGCAGGGCACATCAAGCCATGTCTGGACACACCTTTGGGTGTCACACCTGGTGGTGGAGGGGGGAATGCTATTAGGATCCAGTAGACAGAGGCCAGAAATGCTGCTCACTGTTCTTTAAGGAGCCAGGAAGATCCAGTCTAAAAGGTTAGTAGTGCCAAGGCTAAGAAGCCCTGATCTAACACAAGGGACCGACTGGGGCGCCATTTAAGTCTCCTTGCAGAGAAACACAAAAACACCACAGGGAACGTGCTGACTATGGTTGACACGCATTCTGCTGGGCTTCCCCTGGGGAAAAGTTTGGTATGTAACCCCCAATGCTGGGGGGGCCTTGTTCACCCCGAGGCAGGAGTCGTGAAGAAAAACAGCTTCCGTGTGCTGAAATGCCAACAGACCCTCCTACACGTTGACCACGTTCTTGAGCTGGGGTGCTGGTCCTGAAGCTGTGGTGCTGCTAAGGTCTGGCCCACCACTCTATCTCGGAAGAACAGCTTGTTTACACTTTGATAGGACATGTTTACCTTTTTCATGATCTACTATAAATTGAAGGACTATGGCCTGAACATCTTCATCTCCCTTTCAAAATCTGGTAGGGCTCTGTCCCTCAGGAATGGATCTAGGCCAGTGTCTCTCGAAACGTGTTCCGTGCTACACCGATCGGCCTTCCACGAAGCAAAGGCACCATGGCCAGATGAGTTTGGAAACGGCTGGGCAAGCAAAGTCACACGTCTCTTTACCGCCGAGGATCAGAGTCTTGAATATACTATTAGCAATCTAAATCTCCAGGGGCGCCTGGGTGGCTCAGTCAGTTAAGAGTCTGACACTTGATTTCAGCTCAGGTCATGATCTCACGGTATGGGAGTTAGAGCCCTTCCTAGAGCTCTGTGCTGACAGAGTGGAGCCTGCCTGGGATTCTCTCTCTCCCCCTCTCTCTGCCCCTCCCCTGCTTGTGCTTTCTCAAATATAAAGTTAAAAGAGAAATGAGCTCTGCTCCCTACTCCCCTGGGGCTTCAAGCAAACCCTCCTTCTCCCAGAGAGCCTGCTTCCTCATCTACAAAATAAAGACCACAGGCCCTGTGTGGCAGGCTGATTATGCACGCCACGAGGTGACAGAGCCGTGCACTTCCCACCCCTGCACACCCTGAGCTCCTAGCCGATGTGGGCCACTACTGTTCGTATTAACGGAAGTAGGGGAAGAGGAGGAACACATTTGGTTACCTGTCCAGCAGGGCTCCCAGTTTCTTGGCTACATGGGCTCGGAATTCAGGGGTGGTCTGAAGCTCATTGCCATCTTGTTCATGTTCGTCCACTTTACGCCTACAATGCAATGCACACGAAAGGACCTCACTTCCTGCCAGTTCAGAAGCTGCCCCCACCCCCCACCCAGGAGGGCAGGGACGACATGTGTCTCATTCAGCCTGATAGCCCAGGGTCTAACCTTGCAGCTGGCACACAGCAGGGGATCAATATTTGTTCAAAGAATGGGTTAAACGTGGGCCCAAAGTGCACAGTACCTGAGGCTTGGCTGGCTGGTTGGCGACTGACTATTTGCGGCACCTGTAGAAATAACGAAAATTGAGGCATCTGCAGAGGAAATGACAATAATAATACCTGTTGTGCGTCAAATGTGATTTTAAGTGATTTACATGTATAATTCATTGAATATTCCCAACAACCCTATTAAGGGAGTTATCATTCCCATTTTGCAGGAAAGGAAACCGAGACAAGGAGATACCTTGGCCAGAGCCACGCAGCTGATAAGCGACAGGGTTGGGGCAACACCCAAGTCATCTGGCCCCAGAGCCCCCCTCTTAACCACCATGCTGAACAAGAAAGTCTAAGTGTATTTGATTACAGTATTTATTGAGCACCTACTATGTGCCTGACTCTCTGCTAAACGCTGTGGAGGACAAAGAAGGTGGCTCCATTATGTAGATCGCATTTTTTCAAGCTGAGACGGTGGAAATGGCTGGCCTGGTGATCATTCACTCAAAGGAATACTGAAGCTTTGCTATTACCCAGGTGGTGTTCCAGGTGCTGGACAATTTAGACATAAAACCCAGCTCAAAAGGAGCTTATATGCTGGTTGGTGGATACGAAGGACCAAAAACACACAATTAAAATGTAAAATTAGACAATGATAGAGGGGAAATAAACAAAACAGGAGAGAGAGGCAGGGAGGGCTAGGCGGGGGTCATTTTACAAAGGTAGGCAGGGAGGACTACCTATAGGTGACATGTGAACGGACTTCAGAGAGGCAAGGGAGGGGGTCAGGTGAACATCTGGGAAGAGTCTTCCAGGAAGAAGGAAGAGCACCTACAAGGGCCCAAGGCAGAAGCCTGCCTGGTGCATCTGAGAACCAGCTAGCAGGCGGTGTGACTGCAGCCCAGTGGGTTGGGGGAGTGGCAGAAATGGGGACCCTGTGGGGGCCAGATCATGAAGGGACCGGTGGGCCAGTGTGACGGCCTGGGCCTTGAGAGAGGTGAGGATTCTGCAGAGAGGAGGGGCATGAACAGACTTGGGACTTCACAGCACAGTCTCTGGCTGCACGGTGGGCACAGACCATGTGAGGCAAGGGCGGAAGGGGGCGGGGGGGAAGGAACCACAACAGCCACGGAGGCGATGAGAAGTGGCAGAACTCTGGATGTCTTCTGAAGCAGCCCGCAGGATTTTGCGGATGGATTCGACGGACGGTGTGAGAGATGCATGAAAGATGGTCCTGAGATTTTTGACTCAAGTAATGGGAACAAAATCTAAGGATTTTGCATCTAAGGAGCCACCTGGTCAAAACGATCACTTGGTAACTGGGCCCACAGCAGAATTCAAGTGCACAGTGCTCCTGGAGTCAGGGAATGTGGATGCCTGGGATGGACCCGCTCCTTCTTTCTGAGTACACAATCACAAAGAGAAGTACTTCCTCTGTCATGACTACAGAGCAAGGGCTGTGATGTAACGTCACGGAGCAGAAACAGCATTAGACCCCAGGACCCAGACGACAGGGTTCAGTGAAGTTCTGGTTCTTCCGCTGTGACTCTGGGCAAGTCCCTTTACAGAAATTCAGTTATCATTAATAGTAAAACCCCCCAAACTTGGCACATTAATATATGTGGTTCTTTATTAATGCATTAAGTCTTTATGGATGCATTACACCTACAGGTGGGCTCGAAAATGACTGTAATTTTTTAAATTAATGAATTAATTTATTTTTGAGAGAGAGATAGCACAAGCAGGGGAGGATCCCAAGCGGGCTCCGTGATGACAGCAGCAAGCCAGATGTGCGGCTCGAACTCAGGAACTCATGAGATCATGACCTGCGTGGAAGTTGGATATTCAACTGATTGAGCCACCCAGGCGCGCCCTAAAATGACTGTAATTTTAAAGCAGGGATGAGTGTAAATTATTTTTTCCCAACATTTTATTGTGACTACAATGATATTTTGATACGTATGCGGTCTGTAATGGAATATGAAAATCTATGACTTTATTAGGACGAAGTAACAGGTATTGCCCAAACTACTGTAGCACTAGATTGTCACCGTCAGACACGTGGAGGACCCAGTCTGGCAGCCCCAGGGCCTGAGAATGTGTCGGAGGCGGGGAAAGGCTGGATGCCAGTATCCAGGAAGCGGGGCTGTCCCCGTCATCTCAGAGAGGTGGCGGGCTGCCAGAGTGCGGCAGTGAGGAAGGACCGAAGGAAGAAGAGTCAAGAGGCGTTCAGGTGCCTCAGTTTCCCTGACTGGGAGAATGGAAGTACCCTTCCTGTTGCACCTGCCCTCTCTTAGAATGTGAGCCCCACCCAGTCCCTGGAGCTTTCTCGGGGAAAGAAGTCGAGTCCCTATCACGGCCTCCTAACCATTCATCCTCTCAGAACCCAGGTGAAGATCCCACGCCTTTCGGCCAGACTCCCTGAACATAGCCTCCTACCGGCTCTTGGCATCTCCGGCCCCCTGGGGCGCTGCTCCAAGCCCCAGGCGGGCATCGCTGCCTCGCGGCACCGTGCCAGCTCCTCCGCATCGCTGCTGCTGCTGCTGCTCTCCAAATCGCTCAGGGTGCTCCTGGGCGCCGCCATTTTGGGCCACCGCAAAGGATTGTGGGGAGCGCTTCCACTAGCAACGCTTCTCCACAACCGCGCTGAGGGCAGAGAGGCGCGTGGCATTGTGGGGATTGTAGTTCTCAGACTCAGTCCGCCCTTGGCCACGGTCTGCCCTGAGGGTTTCGTCAAGCGTGAGGGCTGGAAAGGCCTAATTGGTGAACTCCATCCTCTTCCTGTTGAGGAAAATGAGACCTACAGAGGAAAAGGAATTGCCTAGGGCATACAGGGAGTTAATGACAGAGCCAGCATCGGTACCCAGGCTTTGATGCACTGTGGTTTCAATATTATCCATTTATTCCAATAATTCCAAAATCCCATCAAGGCATCAGAAACACTATAGGGAACTTGTTAAAACTCGGATTGCTGTGTGTAGCAAAAATTACTAAATCAGAGTCAGGGAGGCGGGACTCAGGAGATGTACTTCCTCGAATATCCTAGGGCCTTGCTACCACTCAGGAGTATAATCTATGAACCAGTAGCATCTGAAACACTGGAGAGCTTGTTAGAAACCCAGTACCTTGACTCCAGCTAAGACCCACTGAATCAGAACTTGCATTTAAGCACGATTGCCTGGTGATTGGTGTGCACATTGAAATTCGAGAGGCACAGTCCTGGGTGATTCTGATGCACAGTTTGGTTCCGAAAACATTCTTTAATTTTCTACCTTGGGACTTCTCCCCTCAGCCTGCACATTGGAAACATTTGGGGAACTTTTAAAAACTAACTTTGAGGACCCGACACATTAGAATCTCTGCAGTTAAGATACTCTGCTATGGAGGATGAACAAAGTGACTTTTGTCTTTGGAATGCTTTTCTTCATGTTTTATCTTTGAGGCTGTGTGTCAGAAACTGTATTAAAATAAACTCTTGGGGGTATGTGGGGGTACCTGGCTGGCTGTCAGTAGAGCGTGAGACTCTTGATCTCAGGGTTGTAAGTTCAAGTCCCACACTGGGTGTAGAAATTAATTAAAGGAAGAATAAAATCTTAAAAGAAAACAAAAAAGCCTCTTTGACCTTGGGCTTTCTATTATGAAAGAGAGGAAGGTGACTTATTCATTCCTTTTTTTAAAAATAAGAATTTCCCCACTGCCTACAATGTGGGCACAGGGGGCACTATCAAGGATAAAAGATGGAAAGGAGGTACTAATTCTGTCTCTTAAGGCAAAAAAAAAAAAAATGGCAGGGAATAGGTTACTATTGATAATTGCCCAGAGGCTGTTGAGAGCCAATTATGAGGTAGATTTTATACTCTACAGTAAGGGAGTAGTCCATCAGAAACCAGGGCAAAGGGGAGGAGGAAAAAGGAAACTTTTTACTGGTTGATTGGAGTAAACCTGATCACATGATATCCTCTGATGATAAAGATAGTGTTCTTTTCCTAGAGTCCTTGGATCATTATGTACTGTGTGTATGTGTGGCTCCGGAGTTGAAGGGATTGTTTTACGCTTCATCATCCTCGCTGTCCTGAACTTTGTCTCTCTCTGTCTCAGTTTCCCTGCAGTCCTCACCTCCCAGAGTTAAGGGGCTCAAGTGATTAAGCAAGAACAGCATCAGCACCCGTAGAAAGAGATGAAGATCTCCCAAAAGAGGATAAACAAAGGTTATTTATTTCTAACTTGCTATTGCAAGGGAATCAGCCACCATCCCTTCTGGTTGAGATGCCAAGACAGGGAAAGCTTTATAGCTGGGAAAAAAGGGAAGGCTTCAGGTACACTCTGATTGAAGCTGTTGGCATGGGGAAGCGGTAGGCAGCTAATTAGAAGCAGGGCCTTCTATGTGATTGCTTAGGGAGCTTATCTGGAATTTTCTGGTTGAGTCTAAGTCGGAAATGAGATAGAATTAGGGAAGCTGGCAGTGATCGACCAAGTCCTGACGATTTGAGGTTGCTTGCTACAGAGGTGGTGGTTTGGCTTCCTGGGCTAGAGGACTGCAGAGGCTGTGAGTCAGAATTCTAGTGTCCTGTATGGTCTGCCCATTGTCCATGGTATAGCAAGTGTCTCTCATCCCTACTCACTCCCCCACTTGCAGGGCGAGGTTCACTATTCGCAAAGCTGGTGAAGACATGGGAGCTCCCCAGGCAAGAGCTGGAAGGAGTGGTTGATATGCTGAGTCCTGGATTAGCTGGGTGGAAAAGGAAACTTTCCAGCTTTCTTCTCAGAAAGGATGAGAGTGTCACCGTCCTGGATACCATAGCTGCACAAAGACAACCAATCCTGCAGGACTTGACCTTGGATCTCCAGCTGCTGCTGCCTTCTGGGCAGCCCTTGTTTGTCTTCAATCTGCTGCTTCAGGCCCATGATGAAGCTTTTGGGATCAATGGCATAGGCATGGCTCCCCTCATTGGGATGATTCACAAAGACCTGGATCTCGGGGGAGATGGTCTCCACCAGACAGATGCGGATGTTGGAAAAGATGCCGTAATAGGCCAAGGATCCCTGGTTATTGAGGGGTTGTCGCTTGCCATCAGGCTCCTGGAAGGACAGATGCTGTTGGCCCGAGCAGCCCCAGCTCTGCCAGATCTTCTCTTTAACCTTTTTTATGGGCTCATAAGGGTTCACTGTGAGGATCAAGTCTGAGTAACCCCACTGTTCCACGGTCACTTCAATGTCTCGTGCCCTCTGGAAGGGAGAGAAGAGAGAGAGGGGTTAATTCCACACTCCTCTGACATGCAAAATGTCCCTTTACCTGGCCTCCTGTTTCTAACAGCAGCAGCACTAAACATTGGGTTGTGCCCACCACCTTCCAAGCCCTGGGCTGGGCACCTGTCACACTCTTCAATAAAATGCACTTTATTGCCACAGCAGCCCTACGAGTTTGGTTCCTATTCTCCCGTGGTACAGATGAGATTGTGGTTGAGAACATTAATTAACTTACTGACCATCACTAAGGTAGTGAGAAGCACAGAGGGTATTTGACCCAAGGCCATCCAGATTTCAAAGTCTGTTCTGCACCACCACCAGAGGCCATGTTCAGGGTCCTAGGAGTCCCTGGTGGCTGAAGAACAGCATCTGGAAGGTGCTGGGGAAGGGCTGGATAGCAGCTGATCTTTTCAAGAAGGAACATAAGCCCAGAATTCCCAAGTCTTCTGACTGTACAAGATAAAGATCTTTGCACGATAGTTTTTACATTCAGGAGAAACCCAGAGGCATATACTTTTCAGTCTGTCTATGAACCTCATTTGGACAGTGGGCCCCACAAAGACCTGGGTACAAATTCTGACTCTACTGCCTCTTCGCAGTGTGATCTTGGTCAATTAACTGAACCTGTCTGAGCCTCAGTTTCTTCATCTGTGAAATGGGGATAATAACATTCAAGATAATGATAATAATAACAACACCTGACCTGCAGACGTGCCTCGGGACGTCCCGCCTGTGGTGAATGACTAAATACAATATGAATAGAAAAAAAAATGTGTTGAATATGATCTTTGCTTACAGTGTAGATTTGCCATCCCGTGATAATGTGCAATTCTTTTCTTTCTAGCAGTTTTGTGCAAGTTTGTTTCTTGGGCTCACTTCCTACCAAAATCTAGTGCATCCCTTGAGGGTAGGGGTTATGTCTTATGTCTGTACTACTGTTGTTCCGTTGCCCCCCACCCCCACCAGCCCCAAGTGCTGGCACAAGACAGCTGTTGAATTGACTTGCCTGGTCTCAGCTCATGCAAAAAATGGTCAGGAGCATGACTGATTCTCCAGTGGGTTGTAGGAAAGAGGAAGAAAAGGAGAACACGAATTTGTAAGGAAGGCTGAGGCTTCACCTCTGAGGCTCAGAGGGTTGAAAAATGTCCCCAAGTTCACAGAGCTGGTGGGCGCTCCAGACAGGCTTCCAACTTATCCTAAAGCTCTGTTAGCTACATTGACACAGAAGTAAGTATATGCTATGCAGTTACCTCCTGAGCTTCAAGCCCCTGACAACCCTGAGAGGAGCCATTACCTTCACCGCCCAGCTGGTGACTGGAGTCTCCCTGTTGTCATAGCAACAGTACTGTTTCAGGCACTGGGAGGCCCTCTGAGAGACGATGTCCCATCTGTACCCTTCCGCCACATTGTGGGTAGGGTCGGCCGGGTCCAGGATGATGGGCCTGCAACACAGGGAGAGGGTTCCCAGGCTCTCTCCCATCTGGAGGCCAGCGAGTCAGAAAGAATCCTGCTCAAGCGGCTCATCTGAGCGCGTGCTGTGTCTGGAGCCCAGGGCTGTCAGGCCCAGAGAGCCCAAGAACATTGCTGGAGACGAACCAAGTGGGGATGATTATATTTCCAAGAATTCCTTTTGGGGAGAGGGGTGTGCAAGGTGTTTGGGGGGAGTGGAGTGTTGAGATCCCCAAAGGCATGCTGTAACAATAACATGCACACTCAGGCAGGGGGCCCTCCAGAGCTTTTGTTTTGCTGAGATTCCATAAGTAAGTCAGAGGTGAGGGCTGCTGAATCGCTTTGGATTCAGCACCACCACCACCACCAAATATTGATATTTATTGAGGCGCTCGCTGGGCCACACCTTATGTGAATTCACCTATTTTGAACCTTCTAACTATTCTGTAAGGTAGGGACTATTATTATTGCTGTTGTTGTGGTCATCTCCATTTCACAGAGGAGGGAACTGAGGCAGAGACCTCTGCAAGTTCTCATAGCCAGCAAATCGGCTCTACGTTCATAGAGAAGGGGTCAGGCTGCCACCAAATGCCTCTCTTCTATATAAATGGTGAATGAATTTAAAGAATATTGGCTTGAAGGGGGGTCTAATGGCTTCCTTAGGTTGTTGGGGTGACCGTGTGTGTTGGATGCCAAGCCCATGATTAAGACCCGGCCCTTATACTCCAAGAGCTTTTGGCCTAGGAGGGAGCTGTGACTTTACCCGTGACAGAATGTGACAGTATGCTATGGGAGTGTGCTCAACACCATCGGCTCCATGCTTGGTACCCCCAACATCCCTGCATCCCTGAATAGTCCTACCTGAAATAGGGGGCAGTGCCGGGCTGCCCTATAGGGTGAGATCACCTGACCCAAAGCAACCAGCCAGGTGACCTGACGTGTAGGGCCTGTGCCCAATGAGTAGACCGGTTCCTTCTGGGGTTTGGACCAAGGATGGTGGAGGTTCTTCATCAAACAGAAGTAAGAGAGGAGCAGGGTAGGTGTGGGGAGAGAAGCAGAGGTCATGAGAGGAGAGAGGGCAAGTGGACCATGAGAGAGAGTGATGGAGAAAGGGGGTGTCTGCAGGGTTGCCTTAAGTCCCGATGCTTTTCTAACCTCACATTTTGGGCATCCTTATAATAAAATCCTCTTTTCATTAGGAGACTGGGGTTTTCTTCCTTGTAAAAAAAATTTAAGGGGCGCTTGGGGGGCTCAGACAGTTAAGCATCTGGCTTCGGCTCAGGTCATGATCTCACAGTTCGTGGGTTCGAGCCCCGCGTCGGGCTCTGTGCTGACAGCTCAGAGCCTGGAACCTGCTTCTGATTCTGTGTCTCCCTCTCTCTCTGACCCTCCGCTGCTCACGTTCTCTCTCTCTCTCTCTCAGAAATAAATAAAACGTTAAATTTTTTTTTTAATTTAAAAGACCCAATACTCATATAAGGGGACAATAAGCATTCTTGTGATATTGCTTGCACCTACCTAGAGCTAATATAAAGAGTTGTTTCCACTGGGTGTCCCCAGAAAAAGATGCCAAGTGCAGGATCTCAGTGCTAGTGGTTTATTTGGAAGGACACGCGGGGAAGCACCAGTAAGGGGGTGGGAAAGGGACACGAGTGAAGGGTTTGCATGGAGGTGATTACCAGCACGAGCCACTGGCGGTTAGTCCCATGGCAGGGCCTCTGGGAAACAATGTAGCCCACGTGATCCAGAGAGAATCCTTCCATCTGAAACGGGTGGGAGCTGGGGTATTTATTCCCCAGCTCCCGCCAGTTATTAGGGGAGGTTAAAAACCCTCAGGCAAAAAGACCCAAGTGCTGACCGCTGGAGGAAGAGCCAGCCTTCACTGAGATGGCCCAGGGGTTGGAGATGGGGGCTGGTGCTGCCTAGAGCTAAACAACAGCGTGTGCTACGTTGTGAACATTTCCCCTGCATCTTCCAGAGACCAGACCCTGCTCAAGTCTGTGCTCTAACAGCTCTGTGCTGACACCTCAGAGCCCGGAGCCTGCTTCTGATGCTGTGTCTCCCTCTCTCTCTGTCCCTTCCTCTGCTCACGCTCCATCTTTGTCTCTCTCTCTCATAAATAAACATTAAAAAATTAAAAAAAAAAAAGAATCCTTGTCATCTAGAACTACTTTGGTGCCTCCATATTCTGGAAGGAGAATTTTATTTCCAACTTTCACACTGTCTGGTTGACTCTTTCCAGCCTTTCCTTGACAGCCTCATCCAACAGCCAGCATGGTTGCTCACAATACTTCTTAAGATTTCTCTGGAAGCACAACGTCTCCGTTGGCAATGGTTTTGGCTGCACTCCTTTCAACTAAAACTCAGTCAAAGAGGGGAAGAAACTTTCTAAATGCCTGTCCTCTGCCATCACTCTGGCCACCCCAGTTTGTACTCGGAAAGGTGGCCGACTTGAGGTGTGTCCCAAGTCTGCGTGAGATTCTAGTGTGGTTTTACTACCTGATAAAGCCCACCCATTCAAGGCGACACTGCCTTTGCCTCCGTTCTCTCTCTGGTCTCCGTGGGATGTGGCAAGCTAGCAGGGGCCCCATACCTGTCTCTTTTGAGCTGATTTCTGACAAAGGCCTTGATGACTGGGTTCTGGAACGTGTAGTACTTGGTCCAGTAGATGCAGAGGAACCTGTACTCCCGGAGCATTTCCATCACAGTGGTGAAGCCCTCGTCCAGCCGGAAGCTCTCACTCTCCTCAGCACCCGTCTCCCAGACATAGATGGTCAGCAGCTCAAGGGCATAGACAGGGGGCAGCGCGGCCCTCGGGCACTTGGCTTTCACGTACTGTAGAAAGAGACGGGGAGAGAGAGACCCCAAGATCCTGTCTCAGGATCCGCTCTCTGGACGGACCACAATCTGGAAAACCCAACTTCTTGTCTCAGCTCTGCCACCTGCCGGCTGTGTGATCCTGGCCAGTCACTTTCCCTCCAGGGCCCTAAATGATTTTCCTGGTTTTAGAATTAAAGGGCTCGCTCGGTTGGCCCAGTGGGTTTCAAACTATGCTTTTTTTTGTTTGTTTTTAAAAAGACTTTATTTAAAGAACTTTTTAAAATGTTTATTTATTTATTTTCAGAGAGAGAGACAGAGAGAGCAGGGGGAGTGGGAGAAACACATGCACACACACAGAACACACACACACACACACACACACACACACACACACGGAATCCCAAGCAGGCTTTGTGCTGTCAGCACGGAGCCAGATGTGGGGCTTGTGAACCCTGAGATTATGACCTGAGCCGAAATTAAGAGTCTGACGCTTTAACCAACTGAGCCACCCAGGTGCCCCTTAAAAGATTTTATTTTTAAGTAATCTCTCCACCCAATGTGGGGCCCGAACCCATAACCCTGAGACCAAGAGTTGTGTGCTCCACTGACTGAGCCACCCAGATGCCCCTCCTAGTGGGATTCTTAAAACTTAGATGATAAATATAATGCAGAATGCCTGTCATCATAAGATGTAAGCCTTAGGGAAAATGAGCCCTTCGTTTCTCTTAGAAGCTCCAACATACTATTTCATGGTATGTAAAAACAAACAAACCAGAAAGAAAGTCTGTGTTCCCTTCCAGGGCTGATGTTCAGGGATACTTTGCTTTCTCCATGTTCAGAATATCTCTGACTCTTGCAATGTTGCCGTCTGAGATCTGTCATGACCTTTCTATAGTAAACGTGAGAAAATTGCTATTTTTCCATGACCAGAGACAAACTCTAAACCTAGTAATCTTGATAATTATTGTTTCTTTAAAAAGTTTTTAAATGTCTATTTAGTTTTTTGAGAGAAAGAGAGAGAGAGAGAGGGAGAGAGAGTGCAAGCTGGGGAGTGGCAGAGAGAGGGAGACATAGAATCTGAAGCAGGTGCCAAGCTCTGGGCTGTCAGCACAGAGCCAGGCATGGGACTCAAACTCACAAACTGTGAGATCATGGCCTGAGCCGAAGTCAGGAGCTACAGGTAGCCGACTGAGCTACGCAAGAACCGACTGAGCTACCCAGGAGCCCCAATAATTGTTGTTTCTTTAAACATCTAATATATTTTTCACGGGATTAAGCTTTTCCTTCTGCAGTCTGATTCCTTTACAACTAACCTGCAAATTCTTATTTAATAAGTGACTTTTGTCTCTCAGTTTCTTTTTGCAGCCAGAGGTCTGGCTCACTGAGATTGTCCGGGACATTTATATCCCAAACGCCCTGAACTGTGTTGCCTGAGAAACGCACCCCGTGGGCTGTTGACATTGGGACACGACCATTTTCTAGCTCCCACGGTGGACTTTGTGTGGCAATAGCTTTACGCTTGCTGATGTTTCTTTCCACCTTCCCCAACCTGTTTGTGCGTCTGATCCTAATTAAGTCTGATTCTTGGCTAAATCTGATTCTGGTTCTAGTTCTTATTTATTTGTGCAGGGCCGTTTATGCCCTGTTGGTGACAATGACCTGTGCATCTAGTTTTATGGTCTGACCACCTGGTCTCTATGGGGAGACAATGATAGGACTCTACTTTCTGCTGGGCGTCAGTCGATGGGACTTTGATTATACTTTGCGTTTTTCTCTGTTTCTCTTTTGGGCTGTTTTTCTTTTTTAATTTTTTAAAAATGTTTTATTTATTTTTGAGAGAGAGAGACAGTGTGAGCAGGGGAGGGTCAGAGAGGGAGGGAGACACAGAATCTGAAACAGGCTCCAGGCTCTGAGCTAGCTGTCAGCACAGAGCCCGATGTGGGGCTCGAACCCATGAACTGTGAGATCATGACCTGAGCTGAAGTCGGACGCCTGACCTACTGAGCCACCCAGGTGCTCCTTTTGGTCTGTTTTTCTTGAGGATTCTGATATCTCCCAGGAGGCTCACTGTTGTTGTCTTATGCGTCTTTAAATTACTCAAAAAGTTGTCTGCGTATGTGAATGTGAGTGCGTGAGTGTGCACATGACTCATGGAAAACAGCCCTGTGAGATCAGGAGCTGAGTTGTGGCTGGATTTTACACTGTGTTTATTTTTGACCACAAGTAAAGCACTACAACCAAAAGTGCTAGTTCTTTTTGTCTTTTATATAAAAGAAGAAAACGTTTTACCAAAGAATGATCTGATTACAATATAATCTATCGGTGGGTAGATTCCTTTCTTCCAATAATAAATTAGGTCTCATAGCCTCACCAAAGGGCACTGAGTCAGAAGTTCACCAGATACTTTTATTCCAGAAGTAGATGACTTCATAAAAGCAGATTGCTTAACCAAAGATCAATGAAATGAGAATTAATTACCCAGCTTCATGTTCTATTTTTGATGGATATGTAACAACAACAAAAAAAGACCCTTTCTTTCTTCTTAATCTAATTTCTGTCCTTAATCTACAGCTATACTTGGGCAAGCTAAGTTTAAACATCCTTTAAATGACGTATTATTCCAACACCTCAGGACAGAAAATGCCTATTAAAAATTCCTACCATTGATTATAATCTAACAAATCCTCAGAAAAAACAAAGATAATGATAAAGAAGATGATGAATGCTTCAAACATTCAAAAAATGTTTGAAGAAAAAACAAACATAGCATATATAAATTGGCCCTGCTTACAAAACTATTCAGACCATAACTGAGGTGTTACAAGCACTCGTTTACTGAAATATTGTATGTTCTTTATTTTTCTCCTTCCTTCTCTGTTCCTCTTCCTTCTCCTCCTTTCCCACTTTCTCCACCATTTCACTTGATAGTTTAAAAGATTAACATTTATGGGGCGCCTGGGTGGCTTAGTCGGTTGAGCGACCGACTTTCACTTAGGTCATGATCTCGCGGCTCGTGGGTTCGAGCCCCGCGTCGGGCTCCGTGCTGACTGCCAGCTCAGAGCCTGGAGCCTGTTTCAGAGTCTGCATCTCCCTCTCTCTCTGACCCTCCCCTGCTCATGCTGTCTCTCTCTCTCTTTCCTAGAAATAAATAAAAATATTTTTAAAAAAAACAAAAAAATAAATAAAAGATTAACATCTTCTTCCCCCTCCCCCCAGTTTCCTCTAATGACAAATCAGGGTCTCCCTCCCCCCGCCCCCGCCCCGCTTCTGTCAGCACCCCCTTCTGTCCCCATTCTGGCAGCTCCCTCACCTGCAGGGCTCCCTCACCTGCAGGTACCAGTGTTTTACCAGCCGCAGAAGGCTTTTCAGCTTGGTTGGCCGATGTTTCACAAAGTTTCTCTGCAGCTCACTGAAGGATGGCGAGAAATTTCCGGGGTAACCATGGGTCTCAATCAGACTCACATAGACCTCAGGATGTGGCTGAGAGGTGGAAACAGAAGACCCTGCATGGGAGGAAGAAGAGGTAGAGAGTGGGGATTTAGGAAGCCGCAGGTCGATAAGCGGTCTGTGGGGCAGCCTGCTCATGCATTGAGGTACCTCTCCAGGGAAACCCGAGACCTCACAGCCCAAGGGAATCCAGGTTTGCCTTGCTTGATTGTACTTCTGGAGAAACCAAAAGTGGGCTTTCCATTCCTCAGGCCTCTCAAGGACTGTTGTCTTCTCTCCATGTCCCAACACCCCAATGTCCCTTAATGTCTGTGTTGGATTTCTTTCTCGGTGATTTAGTTCAACCTCCTGACACCGGAAGCAGAGAACCAGTTCCAGATGAGAAAGCTGGGCTCCTCAAGCAGCGTGCTGCTGAACGGTGTGCTTTTGGGGCTTGCATCACTAATGGACCCTGGCACTCTCTTTCTTGTTCATGTAGGATCCCATTTCTGACACCTTCTCTACAAAGCAACTCCTGGCAACCACTCTGGTTGACAGGAGCTGGCACAAGACGAAACCTGATCATCTGAGGTTGTAGCTGATACTGTTTGCTTTAAACATCCAGGACTTTTTGCCTGAGGACAAACCAGAAGTGCTGGGGAGCTAATGGTCCCAGAAGCAGCCCTCAGCCAAGGGTGATGGGAAGTTGGAGAATAAACTCCAATATCCCACTTAGAATTCAGTTGAGGGGTACTCTACACTGTGACTTAGAGTTCTCCCGGGGCACAAAGCCCAGTGGCTCATAATGGTGACCTAGTGATGCTTCTTCCCTCCCTGTCCCTCTCCCCTACTTCCCTATCAGCATTTCCTGGGCCTGCTTGTCCTCAAACCCTTGTCTCAGGGTCTGCTTCTGGAAAAGCACAAATAATGACAGGCCCCTGCACCTGTGATAAATGCTACAGAAGCACTCCAGTTTATGCTTCTAACACACTCCCCTCTGTGGGTATCATTTCCTCTTGCAATCATATATTTATCCACATGATTCTTTGATAAATGTTTCCCAAGTTGAGTGACACAGTGGCCCCAGTTGGGCCAGTCTTGGGCCCTGTGGTCGCTGAGCCCTCAGCTCAGAACATGGGTTGAATGGATGAAGGCAGATGTCTCCATGTGGCCATGAATGGGAGGCGAGGGAGTTCAGGTCCCCCTAGGAGGGAAGTGTGTGAATCAGATCAGCTTTCCCTCTCCTTACCCAGGGCCCTGTAGGCAGGCACGATGGTGACAGTGACGAGCTCCGCAGTCTCCCTGGTCTGGATGGTGAAGATGAGAGCATCGGGGACTCCTTGGACTATCTCCACGTCCTCGAGCCCAAGGGCCAGTAGGTCCTGGCAACACCACAGCCTTTTCCATATCAGACTCAGAATGGCTTGGTGATGCTTGGCCTCCTCCTGAAAGCTGTGGAAACAGCTCAGGAACACCACCAGTTCCACCTCCGAGGTGCTCCTGAGCACCGTACCGTTCCCGAAGGAGCCTACCTGCAAAACACAGAACCATCACCCTGAGCCACTCTCTGTGCCAGGCAGTCCCTGAGGCTCCTTACAGGAATTATCCCGGAATGCCCACCACAGCCCAGAGGTATGGGTGGGTGGTACCAACATCCCCCTTTTTATAGGCTAGAAAACTGACCTTTCAAGAGACTAAGTCACTCACCAGGGTCACACAGTACACAGAAGAGCCCCATTTTGAACCCAGGCAGCCTGACTCCAGAGCCCACGCTTTTTACTAATGACATTGCATTGCTTCTGAGACGGGGTGTTCTTGCCTGCAGAGTGATGCCTCTTCCAAGAGACAGTGATGCCCTCTCTACAGGGTATTCGGAGCATTCTGGGTGTCTGAGTAATTTCATGACATTAAAAAGTGGGGAGCAGGATTGCCTGGTGGATAAGAACCATGGGGCAGCCTGTGGGATGGGGCAGCCTGACGTTGACCCCGACTCCTGCCCTTGTTTCTCAGCTGTGTGATCATTGTGAGCCCTAATTTCTCATCTGTGAAATGAGAATAATAATGGAACGTGAGTCGTTTGGAGGATTAGATGAAACATAAGGCGTGCCAAGGGCTTACCACATGCCTGGGATGCAGAGGTCAGCAATCTAATGCTCATACTCTTTGTCTCATTGACGTAGATCATCCCTTCTCTGCCTGGGACTCTGTTTCCCCCTCTGGATGCAAGGGGCCTGAGCTGGACAATTTGGAAGTGGTCTATTTGATGTTCTGAGAGTCTAGTCCTGCTCTCACCCCCCACCCCTGCCTCTGGTATACAAAGCCCTATGACTCTCCAGCCTCACGTCTTTCTTAGTTCAGGTTGGGAGATGGACTTGTTAGTGGTGCCCCAGACCACAAGTTGGCTACCTCTTCGGGGGGTGGAGTCACCACGGATTGATTATAATCCAGCTGTCACGGGTTGAACACTCACTGTGTCACTGAAGGCTCTTTATGCATACAATACCTTTTAATCCTAACACCCACTCATTGAGGTGGGTATAATTGTCACCAGTACACAGATAAGAAAACTGAGACAGTGAGGATTAATCATCTTGCCTTGGACTCATAGCCAGGAGTCATAGTCAGTCAGATAAAGGGGCAGAAGACAAGGGTGGTTCTTCTACCTCTTTCTTTCCACATGACCCAAGTCTCTGAGACTGGCCCTGGTTCTGAGGACATGAAGACTGCCATCTTTTCTTCCCCCAACCTTTTGTGTACTCTTCTTTCACCTTCTCTGAGACCCAGCATTTCTGCCCCATTTGGCAGGGCTGGGGATGGAACCCTGTATGTGGATGAAGGGCTTATCCCCATGAAAGCTATACCTCGACTTCCTGCCAGTGGTAAGACCCAGACAGAGTAGAAATAATCTTCTAGAATAATCTTCATGACTCACTTCAGCCCAAATCTACTTAAACCCAACTTATTCAAGGACAAGCCCAGTGAGCCAGCTCAGATCACCAGGTTTTTGGGCGTGGGTGGGAAGAGGGTTTACAGTCTGAATGAAGCAGATTTCTCATTAACCATTGCTTTTGGGGTATCTCTTTTATTTTGTCGTTTTGGGAAGGGGGCAAGGGCTGTAGTCTTCAGGCAGAATTTGAGGGCTGGGTAAATACCACTTCCTGCCATCAAAAGTCATCCTGTTTGTAGCATCCTCCAGCCTCTGGACTTGCCCCAGTTCATCCACTCCATTCTCTGGATTTTCAGAGGTGCGTGGGGTAGGCTGGGAGGGTCTGCGGGACTCAGAGTCAGAATTTATGACAATGCTTTTGTTTTTGAGCATTTACCAGGTGTTACTCTTTTAGCCTACATTGACAAGGCCTTTGCTGGACAAGGAGGAAATGATGAGGAGGAGACAGAGGCTTGAGAGAGAGAGGATGAGTCTAAGATCACACAGCTGGTAAAGAAAGATGCCAAGAGTCAAACCCAGGTCCGTGGGAATCATATGGCCTCAGGCTCTAGGCACTATAGGTGCGTGTAAGGGGGGGCTAGGGACCTGTGATTTCTAAATCCTTCCCTTAAGTGGCTGCCCCTGGAGACAGAACTAGAGCACTGGGCTGGGAGTCAGGGGCCCTATTTCTAATCTTGCTTTTGCCACTAGCTCTCTGTGTGAGGCTGGGACGTCTATTACCCTCTCTGTGCTTCAGTTTCTTTCATTTTTAAACAAAGACGTGGCTGAGACTGATTCTCCAGGGCCTTTCTAGCTTTGACCTTCCTGAATTTTGACTCTAGCCAGGTCAAGAAGCAGCGGAAGGAAGGGCTTGGGGGGAAATCTCAGGGAGGGCAGCCTGGAGCCCTGGTTCTGGAATCAGATAGATAGATCCTGGTTCAAATCCCAGCTCCACCACTAGCTGTGTGACCTTGGGCAAGTCACCTCACCTCTCCAAGCTTCTGTTAAAGAAAATCTTTTTTAAGCAAAAACTTAAAACACAGAAAAATAGAAAGAGAATACAACAAGCACTCATCTATCCAGCCAATTAGATTCAAAAAGTTTAAACTCCTCACCACACTTGCATCATCAAAAACGCTTTAAAGGAAATTACAGATACCAAGGAACCTTTTCCCTGAATATCTTAGCATTTGTAAACGAGAACATTTCCTCGTTTACAAATAACCGCAAAACAATTACACCTAACAAAATCAACAATGACTGCCTTACATTGCCTAATATCCAGGCCATATTAAAATTTCCCTAATTGTCCCCACATTGTATTTTATGGATGGTCTATTTCACACCTGGATCCAATCAGAGACCTCGCATTGGCTTTGGTCCTTATGAATCTTAAGCTTCCATTTTGCTCATCTGTAAAATGGGGAAAGGACAGTGCATACCTCACAGGGTGCGTGAATTAGAGATAAAGTACGTTACAGGGTTAGGCTAGTCCTTACCAGACTCGTTCTGCTCAAGGCAGACAGTATATACTACAGGGTGCACGCAGCTAGCGGGAGTGTCCTGAGGTGTCAGCAGCATGGGCTAAGGATAATGAGGGAAGAGGCCCCCAGCATCCTCTGACATGAGGACCCTCATGCTGCGTTTGCACGGCCCTGGCCTGTGGCTGGAAGGGACCAATCTCACCTTGACCACCTTCAGCACTCGCACCTTCTGGTCGAGCCCATGCTCCCCCTCAAAGTGCTCTTCCCTCAGGAATTTTTGCACGGTCTGTACAGCCTCCAGGACATCTTCTTTCCATTCCCGGCTGGGCTGCAGCCACTGGGCCACAAAGGAGTCCAGCCGGGAGGCAGGGGTGTCATATAGCGCTGGGGTCCAAGCCATCTCTGAATGAGGAGGGTACCACTGCTGCACAGATACATAGCCACACACCTACCCAGCTCCCTGCACACGCCCACTTCTTTAAGGAGGTCCCCCCTCAGCTGACTGCCAGCATCCTGTGGGATAAAGGGATCAGAGAGGAGATGAAACCGGGGGTGACTGGGCTGACCTGGGGTCCTCTTCTTGGAGACCCCTTCCCGCGGCAAGGACACCGAAGGACGCTGAGTCAAGCTGGGAGGTCTGGGGCCACCTTAAAACGCTTGGCTTCCGGCCCACCTTTTTGCTGTTGGTTTCGATTCTCAGCTTTTAGAGTTTCTAGAGTTTCCCTTTAATGACGTTTGGAAACAGAAATTGGCCTGGGTTTGGCCTTAGAGGAGGCAACTCTCCCAGCGATTGGAGTGGGATGGCATGCATTCATCCAGCCACCCAGCCTTGTCATACAACAATGAGGCTCAGAAAGATAAGGGACATGCTCACGGTCAGTCTGTCGGTCGGGGTGAGCCAGGGGAACCCCAAGAGTCCGGCAGAAGAGATTGCCCACCACACTCTTAACTTCTCTGATCCTCCCATAATTTATCTGTGAAAAACAACGTTAACCTACCCCATAAGATATTGTGCAGATTAAGGATGTGACCACTGACCACAGAAAGCACTGTAAATGCAAATATTATTATTCAGTCACTGAACACCCATGGAGGGCCTGCTAGGTGCCAGACATGGTGTGAAAAAGACAAAGTGAGATGTAGTTCCTGTCCCAGGGGGCTCCCAGAGCAGTAGGGGAGACAGACAAGAGACGCCAAGAGTCCAGTGTGAGCCTTCAAAGACTGGGCATGTGGCCAGGAGGGAGAGGGCATAGCAAGGGCATAGCAGAAGTCTGAACGATCCCGGTGTGTGCCAGTGACTCACTTGTCAAATATGTGTTGGCACAGAAGGTAAGGGGAGGGAGAGGAGAGGGATGGGCCTGGATGGTTGGGCAGGGGTTGAATCTTGGCCATTCATTCATGTATTCAACAAATAGTGAGTAGCTACTATGTGCCAGGCAGGTGCTGGGGGTATAGCAGTGAATAGACAAAAAGCCCTGCCTGCAGTGGGCTTACATTCTGATGGTGCAGACAGACAATGAACAGGATAAATAAGTCGAATTATAGTAAATAAGATAGTAATAAGCGCTGAGCAGAAAAATAAAGCAAAACAAGAGGTTAATAGGTACTGTGTGTGGTGTGTGTGTGTATGTGTAGGATTGCTTAGATGTTCAGCCTCAAAAAAGGTGGTTGGAGAGGCCTTAAAGGGAGATATTTGAGCAAAGACATGAAGAAGGCAAAGAGTGACCCATATATATGCTAGAGGGAAGAGGCTCATTCATGGCAGAAGGAGCAGCAAGTGCAAAGGTCCTGTGGTATCAGTGTGCCTGGTGGGTTTGAGGAATAACAGCATGGCTGTAAGGGAATGATCAAAGGAGGAGAGTGGGAGGGGATGAGGTTTAAGTGGTAAAGGGTGGGGAGCAAATGGTATAGGATCTTCAAGACCACTAAGCCCGACTTTTACTCTAAATGAAATGGGGAGCCACTGAAGAGTTTCAAGCAGAGGAGTAACGTGGCCTGACTTTTATTCTTTTTAAGTTTATTTATTTATTCTGAGAGAGACAGAGACAGCCCGAACTGGGGAGGGAAAAGAGAGAGGGAGAGAGAGAGAATCCCAAGCAGGCTCCACACTGCTGGCACATAGCTGGATGTGGGGCTCGAACTCACGAAACAGGCGAGATTCTGACCTGAGCCAAAGTCAGACGCTTAACCGACTGAGCCGCCCAGGTGCCCCTCTCCTGTGTGATTTAAATGTGAATCCTAAGGGCGCCTGGGCGGCTCAGTCGGTTGGGTGTCTGACTTCGGCTCAGGTCATGATCTCATGGTTCGTGGATTCGAGCCCCGCTTCGGGCTCTGTGCTGACAGCTCAGCCTGTTTCAGACCCTGTGTTTCCCTCTCTCTCTGCCCCTCCTGTGCTCATGCTCTGTCTCTCTCTGTCTCAAAAATAAATAAGTATTTTTTAAAAAATGTGAATCCTAGACATTACATCATTTCCTTGCTTATATATATATTTTTTTGCCTTTTTATTTTTTTATTTTTGGGGGGGTTCTTTAAGTATTTAATTTAATTTAATTAATTAATTAATTTATTTTTTTACAAATACTTAATTGTCAAGTTGGTTTCCATATAACACCCAGTGCTCATCCCCACAAGTGTCCTCCTCCCCTCTCACACATGAGTCCTCAGTTTGTTCTCACCATTCAAGAGTCTCTCATGGTTTGCCTCTCTCCCTTTCCCCCACCATTTACCCCCTTCTTCTCCCCCTTGTTCCTCAGTTAAGTTCCTCCCAATCCTCCTATACGTGAAAACATATGATATTTGTCCGTTTCTGCCTGACTTATTTCGCTCAGCATAACACCCTCAAGGTCCATCCATGTTGCTACACATGGCCAGATTTCATTATTTCTCATTGCCAAGTAGTATTCCATAGTATAGATAAACCACATCTTCTTGATCCATTAATCAATTGATGGACACTTAGGCTCTTTCCATGTTTTAGCTATTGTAGAGAGTGCTGCTATGAACATTGGGGTACATGTGCCCCTATGCATCAGCACTCCTGTGTCCCTTGGGTAAATTCCTAGCAGTGCTATTGCTGGGTCATAGGGGAGTTCTATCATTAATTTACCCAAAAGTATACAGCCAACTAATCTTTGACAAAGCAGGAAAGAATATCCAATGGAAAAAAGAGAGGCTTTTTAACAGACAGTGTTGGGATAACTGGACAGCAACATGCAGAAAAATGAAACTAGATCATTTTCTCACACCATGCACAAAAATAAACTCAAAATGGATAAAGGACCTGAATGTGAGACAGGAAACTATCAACACCCTAGAGGAGAAAGCAGGAAACAACCTCCTTGACCTCCACCGCAGCAACTTCTTACTTGACACATCCTTGCGTATATTTTGAATATAAACAGGTCTTGCTAATGGACAGAATAATGATGTGAGACAAAGATTGGACTCGAGGACCATTTGGAAGCTTTGGCTTTAACACCTGGAAGGATGGAATTGTCCTTAACTGAGACAGGAAAGACTGGGAAGGGCGCATTGTAGAATACCGCTAACCCTCGCCATTCTCACCTGTAAAATGGGAGAGAAGGTGTTAATTCTACTCCTCCACCTAACTTCTATGGTAGCTGTAAGGATAGGGATCCGAAGACACCATGTTGATAAAGATTCTTAGTGTCAATGCCACGTCGATGCATGGGATTATTAATTCAGTGAGGAATAGAGAAAAAGAATTTTACTGAGCTGCGGAAGCAAATCTTAGGCAAGGCTTTGGGGCAAAAAAGACACCCAATCCACTCTGATCTGTTCAATTTAGATTAATGAAAGCTTGGGGTGGGGGGTTTGAATTTTTTAAAAGGGCAGGTCTAACAGCCCCCTGCAGTGTCCCTCCCCGGGGCTGTGTCAGGACTTTTGATTCTCTTTTGCTATACGTGGCTCCATTCTCTGTGTGGAGGGTTGCCTTTTTACTTACCTGTAGTCTTTTTTTTTTTTTTTTTTAAAGTGTTTTATTTATTTTTGAGAGGCGGAGAGAGACAGCATGAGCAGGGGAGGGTCAGAGAGAGAGGGAGACACAGAATCTGAAGCAGGCTCCAGGCTCTGAGCTGGCTGTCAGCACAGAGCCCGATGCGGGGCTAGAACCCACGAACCGTGAGATCATGACCTGAGCCGAAGTCGGTCGCCCAACCGACTGAGCCACCCTAGGTGCCCCTACTCACCTGTAGCCTTGAGCTCAGGCTTATCTGTTCTGATTGCATTTCTGCTTAGATGTTCACCCTTATTGAATTATACTGGGAACTGGTCCCACCCACCAGGACTCCAAATCTGATAGGCTAAGTAAAACCAGTCGATAGATTCTATGCTGGGTCAGTTGATCCCTTTTGGTGTAGTTAGGTTTGGATGGATGAGTGAAGCTATTGGGTAGGAGCATGGTATGATCTATAGGCAATCTCAAAGAATGAGACACAGCTGGGAGAAGAGAGGGAGCACCCCAAACCCTATAGTCTCTAAAATAGCAATGGATGGAGACCCTCAGAAAGGTTATAGGGAAGAATTCAAAGTCATTCTTTGTTTCATTTGTTTGTTCAGCGAGTGCATGCTGAACGTGCGCACCAGGCAGGCATCATTCTAGACCATGGGGACACAGGAGCAAGGCTCTTGTCAAGTCTCTTTAAATCGGGGAGAGTAATGATCCAACATGGGAACACAATGAGGGTCCCGAGTGCTTTCACCGAAGTCTGACTTGGGTGTAGGGGCAGAAAATGGCGTGGTTGGCTGTTATTGGGCTTCTAGCAATGGCTCTCAAACTGGAGTGTGCACCAGAATTACTTGGAAGGCTTGTTAAGACCCAGGTTGCTGAATCCCACCACCAAGACCTGACTCGGGTGAATCTGACATAGTTGCCGAGAAATTTCATTGCTATGATGTTCCCAGGGGATACGCCAACTCTGCTGGTCGGGGGTCCATACCTGGAGTCTGACTTAGAGCTTTGAGTGTTGAAAGATGAAAACATGAGGGAAAGGAATAGTTGAATCAGTAATGGAGTTATGATCCGGCATTCAGTGCTCTGGGGATGCAAGGGTTTGGTGTGTTTTGAGTAGTGAAGAGAAGTAAAGAAAGAGGTAAGCAAGGGCTAAATTGTCAAAGACCTTGAATGCCAAGCAAAAGAACTTGAACTTTATTATATAAGTAATAGGAGCTGTTGGAGGACTTCATACAGGGAAAGGGTACGTTCATATTTATGCTTCAGGAAATCACAGTGGCCTGGGTAGAAAGGGGTGGGTGTGGGAACCGAGCCATGGAAGTCTACATCGTGTATATCCGGTACATAGGCACTTTTGGGGCCCACATCAGGGGCACTTCTGGGGCCCACACCAGGGGCACTTCTGGAGCCCTGTGGCTTCTAATGAGCATGATGGTGTCACAGTCTTTGATCTGCAGGTCTGAAAGGCTGCAGTGATTCCTTAGTTTCCGGCCCTGAAACTTTAGTATCTGATCCCTCACATAAGGTCCCCCAGCCTCCTCAATCTTCTCTTTCAAGGTATGGATGGAGTCGTCAGGGTCGATGGCGTAAGGCTTGCTCTGGCCGCTAGAGTCCTTCACAAAGACCTGGATCTCGGGAGGGAAGGTCTCCAGGACCCGGATGCTAACCTTAGAGAAGATCCCATAATGTGCCAGGGTCTGCTGGCTGCTGAGCAGTTGCCGTTCTCCTCCTGGCTCCTGGAAGGAGAGACGCTGCTGTCCCCTGATGTCACACATCCTCTTGATCTCCGTTTTCATCTTCCAGATGGGACTGTAGGGATCCACCGACAGGGTCCAGGACTCCTCTCCTGTCTTTTTCACCAACACCTGGACATCCCGTGCTGGCTGGAAAGGAAGGAGGAGCAGACCAGGATGTCTGATGGTCAAGGCTGTTGTCCCCAACTCCCCCTCTTTCTGCCTGCTGACGATCTATTTATTGCCTACCGAGACACTTTGGGTAGGAAAAGGAGCTATCGGTAACTATCACAGCCAACAGGCATAAACCGTAACTGTCTGAGGCAAAGCAGAACATCCTAGGTTTACAGGATCCTTGGGTCACCCTCTGTCCTCTGACTCACCCTGATCAGACTAACCACTGGCTACCGTTCCCCAAACAGCCACCCCTACGTGGAACTGTTCAGGGTCCCCAGCTGTCACACGGAGATAACATTTGCGCCTACTCCGTAGGTACATCATAGGGCTGCTCTAGGTTAAAGAATTTAACAGGTGCCAGGCACTGGGTCATACGTTCAAGGATAGTCATTGTAATAGGAAAAGTCTGAAAGTAGGGTAGCAGTCACAAAAAATAAGGTACTTCCATTCATTGGCTCATGACATGGCTGTTAATCCAGGGTGACTTGATGATCCTGTGGGTCTAGGGCAGTCCAGGTGTAGGTGCCCTGTCCCGGGATAATTAGAATCACCCCATTTCATGCTCAAAAATATCCCATTTTGGACTTTAATGTTATATGGTCATGCAGATCTGCCTTTGAGGCCAGCCTCAGAATTTCCCTGCAGGATGTGACCTCTGGTAGTGGCAACAAGATTGCTCCGGGAGTGGCAGATCAGGGAAATTAGCTCTCTCAGACAAGCTAACAGTCCTGGTCTTTGAACCCTAGATTCCTATGTAGTGTTCAGACCCAGGACGCTATGATTGTGTCAGAAAAGCAGTGCCCAGGGGGGCTTCGCCGCTGGTGTTGCTGTCTGTGCTCAAATCCTATGTTCGTCACTGATTGGTTTTAGATACATCTATTAAGACTCTCTTCTTCTTGGGGCGCCTGGGTGGCTCAGTCGGTTAAGCATCTGACTTTGGCTCAGGTCATGATCTCATGGTTCGTGGGTTCGAGCTCTGTGTTGGGCTCTGTGCTGACAGCTCAGAGCCTGGAGCCTGCTGCAGATTCTGTCTCTCTTTGTCTCTGCCCCTCCCCTGCTCACTCTGCCTTTCTCTCTCTCAGAAATAAATAAGACATTATTTTTAAAACATCATTTTTTAATGTTTTATTTATTTCTGAGAGAGAGAGAGAGAAAGAGAGAGAGAAAGAGAGAGAGAGAGACAACACAAGCAGGGGAGGGTCAGAGAGAGAGTGAGACACAGAATCTGAAACAGGCTCCAGGCTCTGAGCTAGCTGTCAGCACAGAGCCCGATGCGGGGCTTGAACCCACGAACCATGAGATCATGACCTGAGCCGAAGTTGGGCGCTTAACCGACTGAGCCACCCAGGTGCCCCTCTCCCTTTCTTTTTTAAAATTTTTTTATTTTTTTTATTAGCATTAAACATTTTAAATGTATTTATTTATTTTGAGAGAGACAGAGAGACTGGGGGAGAGGTAGAGAAAGCGAGAGAGAGAGAATCCCAAGCAGGCTCTGTAACTGTCAGCATGGAGCCCAATGTGGGGCTCGAACTCATGAATGGTGAGATCATGACCTGAGCTGAAACCAAGACTCGGACACTTAACCGACTAAACCACCCAGGCGCCCTGATCTCTCTCTCCCTCTGTCACTTTTTAAGATGTTTGTTTATTTTTGAGAGAGAGAGAGAGAGACAGCCAGACAGAGTGCAAACTGGGGAGGTGCAGAGAGAGAGACACAGAATGTGAAGCAGGCTCCAGGCTCCGAGCTGTCAGCACAGAGCCCAACGCGGGGCTTGAACTCACGAACTGTGAGATCATGACCTGAGCCGAAGTCGGGTGCTTAACCAACTGGGCCACCCAGGCGCCCCTTGGGGGGATTTTTGGGGAGCTGACATGCAGTCATCACTGAATATTGACTGAGGGGTGGAGGGTGGTTATACCTGTACGTGCCAGTCCTGGCTGGAGTCGTCATTCTTACAGCAGGCCTGTCTCAGGCAGTGAGCGGCCTCTTTGGCTACCAGGTCCCATCTCTTTTCTTTTCCCAGGTTGTTGGTGGGATCAGCCGGGTCCAGGATAACTGGCCTGGGAGAGAGAAAGGGAGTAGATCCCCATCACACTTATGATCCTGGCCTCTGTCACTCAAGTCTATGGGATAGTACATGCCTGTGTGTAGGCAGGCCTTCCTGCAAGCTCAAGTTCTTGGCTCATGATTGGAGTAAGTTACAAACTGTAACCTAAGTTGGCCCAATCAGAGTGAACCTCAGGGGTTCTGCTTAGAATCCTAGGACAAAGGTGCACTCCCTCTTGTAGTGGGAGGAGCCCAGATGGGAAGACTAGAAAAGATGTAAGTCATGAAGGGATGAGCCTGAATTCAGAGGTAAGGCTCCCCTGGGAAGGGCAGATTTCACAGAATGGGTCCCTGATGACACAGTGAACATCTGGATCCCATCATACCTGAAAGTTCACTCATCTTTGGGCTTCTCAGTTACAAAAGCCAAGAAGTTCCCCTTCTTTTAACAATTGCATGAGTCAGGTTTCTGTTCCTTGCAGCTAAAAGTAAGGCTCACCTGCATTCCTTCAACTGTTGTTTGATATAGATTTTGACAGTCTCATTTTGGAAATCATAGTACTTGGTCCAATAGATGCAGATGTCTTCATAATCTACAAGGAGTTCCATCACGGCTCTAAACCCTTTATCCAGGTCGAAGTTATCGCTCTTGTCTGTACCTATTTCCCAGGCATAGATGGTCAGTAGCTCCAGTGCGTATTTTGCGGGCAGTGATGCCTTTCGATATTTAGGTTTCAAGTGCTGCAGGGTGGCGGGGTGGGGAGAGGGAGTGAGGGAGAGAGAGAGAGAATGGATATGAGATTGCTACCTTGGCAATTGGGAATTTCCAATTCTCTCTGTTTCCAGGTCCCAGTAATATTCTGTTAACATCAGGGGTGCCTGGCTGGCTTGGTCAGTAGAACATGTGACTCTTGATCTTAGGGTTGTGAGTTCAAGCCCCATGTTGGGTATAGAGCTTGCATAAAAATAAAGAAATAAAAAAATAACTATTTTGTTGACTCCATTTTACATCTGGATTATGTAGCACATCCATGAAATCTGAAATGAGCCCAGAGAGCTTGGGCTCTAGATAGATTATGTCCTGGGGCCATCACAATTTCCACAAAAGAGGAAACTGAGGCCTCTCATGCACCTTCTGGACTTCATCAGTCTGTGTTAGTGAGTCGGAATGGTGGAGGCAATATCACATAGTGTATATAGGATCTGATTAAAGAAAACAAAAACACATCAACACGCTGAAAACATAAAACAAAATTGGAACAAATCAAAAGATGGAGACGGTGTAGTCATGTGAAAATTTCAGTTCTTCAAAAATTAATTTGGTGGGGCGCCTGGGTGGTTCAGTCGGTTAAGCATCCGACTTCGGCTCAGGTCATGATCTCACTGCTCGTGGGCTCTGTGCTGACAGCTACCTCAGAGTCTGGAGCCTGTTTCAGATTCTGTGTCTCCCTTTCTCTCTGACCCTCCCCTGCTCACGCTGTCTCTCTCTTTCTCTCTCAGAAATAAATAAAACATTAAAACAATTTTAAAAAAAGTAATTTGGAAAAAAATTAATTTGGAAGCTTATTGCAATTATAGTTAGCATCCCACTAGTGTTTTTTTAGTGGGAGAAAAATAATGTTAAGATGCAAATACAGGAATAAATGCTTAGGAGAGCCAAGAAAATTAATAAAGAAGAAAAACAAAGAGGTTGGTATTTGTTTTCTCAGATATGACTGAGAGAGCGTACCAGAACAGTACACTTTGGTGTCAGTATAAACAACAGCCAGGTGTAACAGAAGAAGAACCCAGAATTAGTTCTCAGTCGATACAAAAATTTAACAACCGGTAAGGGTGATGAACAATGGGGGGAAAGATGCATAATCCAACAAAGGATGCTGGCACAACTTATCAGCCATTTGGAAGAAAATAAAGACGAGCTTTGTGACACCAAATACCAAAACAGATTACAAATGGAATAAAAGCATAGATGAGACATATTCGAAGAAAATTAAAAGACTACCTACACACTGTGGACAAGACAGAAAACCTACAACTCAGAAAAGTTGGCCCTGTTTGTATGCTTTAAAAATTAGGGGTACCTGGGTGGCTCAGTCGTTTAAGCATCCGACTTTGGCTCAGGTCATGATCTTGTGGTTCGTGGGTTGGAGCCCCACGTCGGGCTCTGTGCTGATAGCTCAGAGCCTGGAGCCTGTCTTCGGATTCTGTGTCTCCCCCTCTCTCTGACCCTCCCCTACTCGCTCTGTCTCTCTCTGTCTCTCAAAAAAAAAAAAAAAAAACACATTAAAAAATAGAAATAATTATATCATCAAAGATATAATGGTAAAAATATTACGATTGGTAAAAATATTTGCAACACGTGAGAAACAATGGTAAATATCTACAAAAAAAGTCTTTCGACTGATAAGAAAAAGACAGAAGTCCCAATGGGAGAAGATGCAAAATACATGAACAGGTTAAGTCCCCAAAGTTCAACTCCAAAGGTCTGTAAGCAAATGCACCTTTGTAAAGGGCGGACCACAGAAAGAGTCACGTGATAGGATTTCGGTTTGTAAGCTCCAGGCATGAGCTGTGTGAACACGGATACAAAGAGGGGGATAACGCATAGTCTCCAAAAATGTTATTAGTATCATCTCAGCCATTTCATGTAAATTTAACAAAAATTTTAAATGTTTGTTTATTTTTGAGGGACAGAGTCAGAGCAGAGTTGTGGAAGGGCAGAGAGAGAGGGAGACATGGAATCTGAAGCAGGCTCCAGCCTCTGAGCTGCCAGCATGGAGCACGGCGTGGGGCTCGAACCCACGAACCGTGAGACCATGACCTGAGCCGAAGTCGGACGCTAAACTGACTGAGCCGCCCAGACACTGCATTTCACGCAAATTTTGCCTTCTCTCTTATGCTTTATTTTTCATCACTTGAATTTTTCATGAGCCCAATGCAATATTCAAATAATCAGAAAAAGTATTTATTATTATGAAAATTCTTATGAAATAAATCATTATTATTTCAAATGTTTTTATTTATTTTGAAGAGAGAGACAGTGAGTGAGAGAGCAGGAGAAGAGCAGAGGGAGAGGGAGAGAGAATCCTAAGCATACTCTATGCCGCCAGTGCGGAGCCTGATGCAGGGCTGGAACCCATGAACCGTGAGATCATAACCTGAGCCGAGATCAAGAGTCGGATACTTAACCGACTTAACTACCCAGGAGCCCCATGAAATAAATTGTTATTGTAAAACCCAGGTGGCATTATTGATTAAGAGCACACAGGCAGGCACCTTTGTGTTCAACTCTCAGCCCAACTTTAGCCCTTGAGCCTGGTTTTTCTCATCCTCGAAATGGGGCTAATGAATAATACATACATTACAGAGCTGTTGGAAAGACTGAGAAAAATACACAGAGCCCTCAGCATAGATCACGGAAGACAACTGACCCTTAATAGATGGTAGCTTTGTTCTTACTGTTATGTGAAATGCCTGAAGCCTGTGGAAAATCACATTCGTGCATGTCAGGAACTATTTAGTTGTCCTCGAGGAACTAAGAGGCTATGACCAAGGCACAGTGCTTTGCACAGAATAGAGCAAAACCACAAAGAACGGCCACAACAAGAATGAGAACTGCTGTCCAGCGCTCTACAATCACAAATAGCTTCCGATGACATTATTCCACCTACATGATTTAGCTCTATTCTGAGCTGGCTTGTTTCCATCTTTTTCTCTTAAAAAAAAAAAAAATGGTAGCAGGCACCCGTCCTCCTTGATGTGCCCTGAATGTCCCAGCCCGGCGCCCAGCCCCGCACCTGCTGGTACCAGTGTTTCATCAGCCGCAGAAGGTTCTTCAGTTTGACAGGGCGACTTTTCACGAAGTGCCTCTGCAGCTCTGTGAAGCTCGGTGCGAACTCCCCAGGGTGGCCGCCGCTGGTTATCAACTCTTCATAGATTTCCGGAGATGGTTTAGAGTCCGGGCAAAAATTTCCTGCGAGAGAAAAACACCCATGTAAGAAAATCCACTCTTTGAGGAGAGGAAGACGGGAAATAAAACTGCGAGGTATTGAGGAGACGTGAATTCTCTCCTGTAGGAACAGACTATATTTCCCATTTTACAATGGAAGCTTAGAGGGTTTGGTAGCCCCCTCAAAAGTCACATAGATTTTAAATACCCCCATTGACCAAAGACTTAGCATGTATCAGACACTGGGCTAAGCTCACAGAAGCCTAGGACAGCTCCATGCAGGGGCGCCTGGGTGGCTCAGTCGGTTAAGTGTCCGAGTTCAGCTTAGGTCATGATCTCATGGTTTGTGGGTTCGAGCCCTGTGTCTGGCTCTGTGCTGAACGCTTGCTCAGAGCCTGGAGCCTGTTTCAGATTCTGGGTCTCCTCTCTCTGCCCCTCCCCTGCTCATACTCTGTCTCACTGTCTCTCAAAAATAGATAAATGTAAAAAAAAAAAAAACAGCTTCATGCAGTAGGTAAAATTAAGTGGAACCATAGGGAGTGCCCTTTTTGAGGCTCAAACATGGTCAAATATTGCCAATTTCCTATGGTTCAACCTGACATTCTGCCTTCTGGCAGGCTGGTATATTGAGTCTTGGAGGTGTTAGATAGCTGCCCAAGGTCATATATTTAGTAAGTCTTAGAGCCAAAATTTGAAGACATTAAGAGTCCTGTTTTTCTTTTCTAAGTTTATTTATTTATTTTGAGAGGGAGAGAGAGCACACTGCAAGTGTGTGGAGCAGAGAGAGAGGGGGAGAGAATCCCAAGTGGGCTCCACACTGTCAGTGCAGAGTCTGATTTGAGCCAAAATCAAGAGTTGGCTGCTTAACCAACTGAGCCACCCAGACGCCCCAAGAGCCCTGTTTTAAGAGTGATTCCAATCTAGGGGCGTCTGGGTGGCTCGGTTGATTGAGGGACCGACTTTGGCTCAGGTCATGATCTCATGGTTCGTGAGTTCGAGCCCTGTGTTGGGCTCGGTGCTATTAGTGCAGAGCCTTCTTGGGATCCTCTGTCCTCCTCTCTCTCTCTGCCCCTCCCCTGCTCATGCTCTCTCTGTTAAAAATAAAGAAACATTAAAAAAATGATTCCAATCTAACTCTAAAGACCTCGAAGTGCTTGCCTTCCCTGGTGTTTCCCAGAAGGTCAGAGGAGAGTCTTCACCCTGGGTTGGGTGGGAACCCAGAAGTCCCCTATCTCCCCAACAGTGGGACATGGAAACATACGAATTTATGGAAGGGACTACTCTGCAAGCTATAGCTCCAGACCCAGCCCTTCAGGAAAAAAATGCAAACTCCACTCTCTCTCACCTGGCTTCCACTTTCCCAAACCTCCCCCAAGGCCAGGTTGGTGAAGGGCCCCTGACTAGTTTCTGTGGCCCCGACCCATTGCTGTCTTTACTTAGAGCATCATAGGCGGGGAGCACATCCACTCCAATAGCTTCACTGTTCTTCCTGGCCTGGATGTGGAAGGACAGGGAGCGGGGGACCATGGTCGTCTTTCTCTGCGGGACCATGGTGATGCTGTAGGCCAGGCTCTTGCTGTACTGAGTCAGTCTCTTCTTGATGAATTTGATGATCGATCCTCGATGCTCTGCCTGGTCTTGAAAGCTGGGGAAGCAGCTTAGGAACAAGACCAAGTCCACGTCGGAGCTGTAGTTCAGTGTCGTTCCCTTACCAGAGGATCCGCCCTGCGGAGGACATTAACATTGGAGCTTTACCTCCCCTGGGGCCTGAAGCTTTGAGGTTGGGGTGAAACCAGGGGGCCTTGCCTGTTTACACAGGTAAGGTTGTTTACACAGGAACCAAAAATAGCTCTTGGTCTCCTCCATACACGGTGGGCTTTGCCAACCACGTCTTTTCATTCATTTAGAAAAATTAAGTACATGATAAACAGTTCAAAGAATATAAACGAAACGTAAAACCCTCCTGTACCTCAGGCCCTAAGTTCCTTCTGCAGAGGTCCCCAACTGCTTCTATCTCATTCCAGAGACATTTGATGCCCAAACCAGTGCTGTCCAACATGGTGGCCAAGAGCCACATGTGGCTACTTAAATTGAATGTTTGTTTATTTTTGAGAGATAGTGTGTGAGTGCGGGAGGGGCAGAGAGAGAGGGAGACACAGAATCTGAAACAGGCTCCAGGCTCTGAGCTGTCAGCACAGAGCCTGACACGGGGCTCGAACCCACGAACTGTGAGATCACGACCTGAGCTGAAGTTGGACGCTCTACCGACTGAGCCACCAAGGTGACCCCTGGGGAATGTTATTTTTAAAGACTCTCAAATTTCGGGGTGCTTGGGTGGCTCAGTCGGTTAAGCATCAGACTCTTGATTTCAGCTCAAGTCATGATCTCACGGTTTGTGGGTTTGGGCCCCACAATGAGCTATAGCTCTGTGCTGACAGAATGGAGCCTGCTTGGGATTCTGTCTCCCTCTCTGCCCCTCCTTCACTCGCTCTCTATCGCTCTCTCAAAAATAAATACATAAACACTTATAAAAAATAAAGACTCCCAAATTTCAGGGGTTGTGGCTACGCCTGCAAAGCACCTTCTAAGTTCCGGCAGCTCTAAGGGGCTGTCTCTGCTCCTTGTCTCAGTAACCGATGCTGTATGAACATGTCCTCTGAAGAAGGGGATCAGGGGGTCTCCTTCAGTAGGCAGGGAAGGGGGCTGGCCCTTCTCCCCCTTACAATAAATTGATTGTTATTTTGAAATAATTATAGGTTTGCGAAAAACAGTTTAGACAGGTCTGCAGTTTCCTCCCAATGATCACACCTTATCTAAATATAGCCCAGAAATCAACATTGATACAATGTATAGAGTTCAAAGACATGTTATGTGGGGCGCCTGGGTGGCTCAGTCGGTTAAGCATCCGACTTCGGCTCAGGTCATGATCTCACGGTTTGTGGGTTCGAGCACCGCGTTGGGCTCTGTGCTGACTGCCAGCTCAGAGCATGGGGCCTGTTTCAGATTCTGTGTCTCCTTCTCTTTCTGACCCTCCCCTGTTCACACTGTCTCTCTCTCACTCTCTCCTAGAAATAAATAAAACATTAAAAAATTAAAAAAAAAAAAACTAAGAAAGACATTTTATGTGTAGATTCCGACAATCACCACTGAAATCAAGATACGGAACTATCCCATTCTATTTCCTCCTTCCACTCTTTTAAGAGTCATACCAACCTCCCTCCCCCCACCATCTCCAAACCCTAGAAACCGCTAATTTGTTTTCCATTTTCATAATGCTGTCATTTCAAGAAGGACACAAATGCAATCATACTGCATGTGACTTTTAGAAGCTGGCTTTTTTTGTTTTCACTTAGCACAGTGCTTTTGACATTCATCCCTGTTGTTACATGTATTACTAGTTTGCTCCACTATAACCACCTTTGTTATAGGTTGTTTGTGGCTTGACTTCGGTCCCAAATCTGCCTAATATTGTTTACTTTTCAGAGTTCTTAAACACTTGTATTTTGATGTCTGTCCAGAGTTTTAGCTATAATTTATGTGAGTGAGAGTTTGTAAGAGCTTACTTTATCTTGGCTGGTGCCAGAAATTACTCGTGTAATTTTTAAAAATCATGGGGCGCCTGGGTGTCTCAATCGATTAACTGTCCGACCTCAGCTCGGGTCATGATCTCACGATTCGTCGGTTCGAGTCCCGCGTCAGGCTCTGTGCTGACAGCTCAGAGCCTGGAGCCTGCTTTGGATTCTGTGTCTCCCTCTCTCTTTCTGCCCCTCTCCTGTTCATGCTCTGTCTCTTCCTCTCTCTCAAAAATAAATAAACAGTAAAAAAAAAAAATCACGAAGCAATTCTGACCTCAGGTCAAAAAATTTTTAATTAAAATTTTTTAAAAATTTCAAAAAATTTCTAACCTTGATTTTGGCACTGGGTTCCTTGACCTGAGGAAACAGAATAGTAAGTAGTAAGAGGAAGAATATGCATGTCAGAGGGGGGCTGTGATCAAGTACTGCAGGGATGTCTTTGCAAATGTTACCGCTGGTTCTAGAAGACTCTCTAGGTCACTCATAATAGGAAATCCAATTTAACACAAGAAAATGACAGCACTGTCACCACAATATAGATAGAGAGAATCAGGAAAATTAGATGCAACTTAGAAAATCTAGTGCTAGGGGTGCTTGGGTGGCTCAGTTGGTTAAGCGTCTGACTTCAGCTCAGCTCATGATCTTGCAGTTTGTGGGTTCGAGCCCCGTGTCAGGCTCTGCGCTGACAGCTCGGAGCCTGGAGCCTGCTTCAGATTCTGTGTCTCCCTCACTCTCTGTTCCTCCCCCGCTTATGCTCTGTCTCTGTCTCAAAAATAAATAAACATTAAAAAAAAAGAAAATCCAGTGCTTGCCCAAGTGGAGAAAGGCAGAGAAAAGGAAGTGTTGAATTAGTGCAATGTGCAATGTAACCTCTTCCTTCCTCCTCATATAGTAACAGAAACATTCATGACAAACGTGTGTCCTTTCTGCTGTTGCTGGTTTACCAGTGTTTATTGTAATAGGGCATTTGGTTCTAGGCACTTCTGATGCAGCTCAAAATATCTGGACATAGTTATTCCAGGACTATTTAAACTTCTGGAAATAAAGATCATTGAGAGAACAAAAGGGAAAGGGAAAGTGATTTTTTTTTCTCCTCCAAATAGTCTCCACTTGACACATACCCCTAAAAGAGAGAATGGGAACTTTAAGATGCGTATTTGAAGTAACATTAATGGTATGTAGAAAATGCAATGTATCTCCAGTGGAAACACAGCACTTTTGAATTCATAGAAGAGCTATATTGGCAACATGTTAAAATAGTTGAACACTTTCAAACCCATCCTTCAAAGAATATGTGTCCCGTGTCTACTTCTTTTTTCTTTTCTTTTTTTTTTTTTAATTTCTGGTTCTGATGGAGATTCCTTCCTTCCTTCCTTCCTCCCTCCCTCCCTTCCTTCCTTCCTTTTTTTGACGTTAGGTCCTGAAAGCAAAGATGCTCAGAAAGCATACATTGCAGCCCCTCCAGGAAGTTCAGCTACGTGGAACAGTCAGACCTAGTAGTGCAAAGTTTGTATCTTTTTATCTAGAGAGTGTGTATTTCTTCATTTCCCTTTTGGAAACTCAAGCTTTGCCGACAACGCTCCTAACTCTATGGTTTCCACCTTTTATTTAAAGATTCCAAAAAAAAAAAAAAAAAAAAGATTCCTTAAAGCTGCTTGTCCTTCCTTTGGCAGCCATATCACCCCCAAGGCAAAGCCTGATTTACTTAAATAAATGTAGATATATGTAAATTAAGGGAAACCTCACAAAATGGCGTCTGAGGCGGGGGGGGGGGGGTTGGGGGGCAGCGGGAGGAGGGGTACCACTCAGCATCGATTGCAGGAGTTGTCAATTACACACCCCAACAAAATTGCAAACAGAAACATCAATTGAATTGCAGACCCGGGCAGGAAAGGATGCATATTGCATCTTCTACCGGGAATTCACTACCCCTGCAACTCAGCCAATGAGAAAGTCTCATTATTCAGAGCGACCCCTCCCACCTTCCTCTTCCTTCCGGGTGTGTTCCTCTACTTTGTGGGTGGGACTTGCTTATTATGGTTTCTGCTATAGCTGGCTTGTGCCGAGTTGTCATTCTTTGTTTTTCCTGAATAAACTCATTTGGCTGGTAAAGTAACTGGCTATTTAAAATTTTTCTTTTTTTTAAGTTAACAGATATCTTTCATCTAGCAAAATTAGCAAAACCTAGCTTGATAGTCAAGGCACTTTTGATTTAGGGTGGTATGTTAAAAGCTTAATTACAATTTAGTACTTTCTAGGACAAAGCATGCTATAAGTGAGTGTTGAATTACATGGTCAGTCCCTTTAGTCCATTAAGGACTCATAATGGCTAGGTAGATTCTTTTTTTTTTTTTTTTTAATGTTTATTTATTTTTAGAGAGACAGCGAGCTGGGAAGGGGCAGAGAGAATCCCAAGCAGGCTCTGTGCTGATCCACAGAGCCCGAGAATGGGGGTAGGGGGTGGGGGGGGGCTGGATCTCACTAACGGTGAGATCATGACCTGAGCGGAAATCGAGTTGGATACTTAACCCTTAACCTACTCAGCCACCCAGGTGCCCCTGCTAGGTAGATTCTAATAATAACTATGAAATACACTGCATTTTAGAAGAAAAACACAGAGTGTGACTTTGAGGGTACAGTTGGTTTTCTTAAACAAGAAATAAAGTGTAAATTTTCTAGAGACCTACCATTCACATTCCTCCTGCTGCCCTGGCAATCAGCTTGATCTCAAATAATGAGCATCTTCCTTTGCCATCCTTCAGATTTTTGGGATGATTTACTGTTTAAAAGCACTTGCCCATGTGGTAGGGTCCCCCCCAGGGAAAGAAAAAACAACACCTCAAGGCAACCTGGCTATAAGCATTCAACATCCCTCAAGACCTTGTAACCTGAAGCCACTTAATCAGACTATAGGTTTGTGTGTTACCATATATGGGTGGCGAAGAAGCTAGAAAATATATTAGAAACCTTCGGGGCTCAGTTCTTCCGGTACAACCCAACCGAGCTGTGCTGGCACGAATAAAGTTGCTTCCTGGAAAGAAAAGCCTGGGTGTCACGACTCTGTGTGAGAATCCTGCTACACCCACGCTTAAACTCATTTATTTCTCATAACCAATCTAGGTTAAAGACGGGGGGGGGGGGAATGAGATGAACCGACCATCCAGAGATGAAATGACCGCTCCCCAAGGTCATACGGTCTCCAAGCGCAGGGCTTGGGATTCACACCCCCCAAGTCCCTTGTGCTCACCTTCACCACCTTTAACACCCTGACTTCCTGGTCTAGAACCAGCTCATCATGGAAGCACCGATCCCTGAAGAAACGTTCGATTCTCTGCTGGGCATCCTTCACTTCCTCCTTCCAGTCCCCCTCGGGCTGAAGCCTCCGCTCCACGAAGGCGGACAGCATGTCTGCAGGGGTCTCATACAGGTTCTGGAAGAGCTCCATCCCTCCAGAACCAGGCTGCCCCTTGGGAGAAATTCTCTCGGCTTCTGCCTTGCTCTGTAAGGGGTCTATCCTTTCTCCAGGAGGCTGAAGGACTGGGGGGCACATTCCATCCCTCCTTGGGCTGCCTTAGGCTCACAAGCTGGGCCTTCCCCGTCCCTCCCGGCTTGCTCAATCGGTTTGGAAACCGAAACTGAATTTGCTCAGCTGTAATTTTCCTGTTTAAAGGCGATCAAGAAAAAGGCTGAGTGTGGGGCCGAGCGCCCTCTGGCGGTCACCCACAGACTCTCAGTCTGAGTGTTTCCTTCCCCGTGTCCTGGCCTCCCCTCCCCCCCCCTCCCCCACCGACCCCGCCAGGCCCGTTCCCAGCTGTCTGGAGAGGATACAGCCCCCCACCCCAGTCCATACAGGAGCTACCCTGGGGGGCAGGAGGTGCCCACGCCTGGCTGAGAGGGTGGGGGGCTTCGCGCTGAGCCTGAGTTCCGGGGGCTGTTCCAGGGAGGGCGGGAGAGACGCACGGAGTCCTCGAGGAACGGCTCTCCAGGACAGCAGGGACAGCGAGCAAAGCGACAGAGATTGCTGAGCGAAAGCACAAAGCTCTCGGGAGCGAGAGGGGTGCCGCCTGGGGCGCCGCCAGGGATGTTTGTCTCTGACTTTGTCTTAGATCAGGACCTGGGTCACAGTTTGGGAGACTCCGTCCATGGCACGTAGCCTAGGCGGCTCTGGAATGCGTTTATTCTTTTTCCCCCCTAAAACGTGCACAAATGCAACGGGACAGGAGGGATGAGGACCGTTGTGACAAGGCGCCTGCCCCGCCTGGCGTCCCCCCCTTCTCTCTCTCTCTCTCTCTGCTTCCTGTTAACCCTTTCCCTGCTCAGGGCCCGGGATGCACTGAACTCTTTTCTTTTCTGAGAGCCAATGCAAACGCTTCGTTTGCTGTTTCGTTCCTCGTGTCCAGGCAAACTTCTCCCTTATCCCCAGGATATGCGAAAATTCGCCGAGGTCGCGTTAGGAATTCAAAGCTGCCCTCCTCTGAACTCCTTCCACACAGTGCCAACAAAATGCCAGAAAGATTTTTCTTCTCTCTCTCTCTCTCTCT